CGAAGAATTATTCATGTAACGACTGAGCTGGTGATGTTGTTGGTGGAGAGGGAGAGAAACTCCAATGTAAATAACGGGAGAGTTGTGGAATTTAGGACACGCAATTACAGAAACCTCTTGCCGAATGAAATGCAGGGTGTTGGCTGAACAAAGACAAACCAGTATTGTTATGAGAAGTACCAGAGCCTTAGATTCACGGCTAAAGGCACGAAACACAAAGGTAATGAGGCGCATGTACCCAGGCTATTCCGTTATCTGAATTTGCTGCAGTTTTGACATGTTTGATACATAATCCTCACTGGGTACAGATTAGGGAGTGAGTGTAACCCACCATGTCCTGAGTAAAATCCCTCTGAGTAACTGTAATTGCAGCTGGGAGTTTTTTTGTCACTGTAATTGTTAAATAAAGGATATAGTGAGTACAGGACACTGAATGTTAAATACTAATAACCTCAAACTAATCATTCCTGCCATTAATTTGAGGATTATTCCCAGAGGAGAAAAAAAGATTAGAAGAAAATAATTTAAACTGAGGGTTGTTGGAATATGGGACAGCGAACCACAAATGTCTGTGCAGCTGAAGCCAGAACAGGAGAGGAATCAGTGCGGACTGGAGGAGACTGGGGATCATGGTGGACTGGAGGAGAGTGGGGCTGCAGAGGGTTACTCTCACTGACACCCTAAACAGATGACTGATTGACAAGAGCATAACGCACAAGCCGCCAGATTGATGTCTGAATGTTTGTGTGTTTGAGAGGAAGGAGGTGGGTAGTGGCATGAGGAACTCTTTCGAGTCTCCAAGTCTTGATGCTTCCTGATTGTATCACAGTTAAATGCACAGAATTTGGTTTGCCTTGGACATTCTTAAAAAGGGATGTACGTGATCGTTTTCTAAAGCTAACTCGTTTTTACCAGCTCCCTTCCCCTTCTCCTCACCACTGTTAAATCCTCACTTGTGACATCTTGTAAATTGCCTTTGGTCTCAGTTTGTGTAAAGGTTATAAACAAAATGCAAAATACTGCAAATGCTGGAAATCTGAAACAAAAACCCAACTCTTTAACCCATCATCCCCTGTCCTCTACCCCAGTTTCTACTTTGTCTTCCTTGCTCTGCCTCTCCCCTCTCTGTTAGTCCTTAAAAGCCTCTCCCTCCCAACATGTCCCAGTTCTGACGAAGAGTTGTGGACACGAAACGTTGACTCACTTTCCTGACTTGCTGCCTGACTTGCTGAGCGTTCCCAGCGACTTCAGTTTTTGTGTAAAGGTTATGTTACCTTGTAATTTATTAAACCTTCTTAAATTGTGCTCTTCTCTTCACGCCCCAGCGTTTTATTTATACTGTATGAGGAAAGAGGTCAAAGTGCTTTGTGAGGCTTGTCCCCACAGTGCCACACACACATGACTGAGTGTTTAATATCCTTTCCTGTTAGCTTTCTATTCTTGTTAATTGTATGTTTTTTTCAGTGTCAGCAAACTATTTCCTGTCATTAGCACAAAATGACCATTTTGTCGTTTCACCCTTGGCCGGGTTGTTAGAGAAAACCTATGTTTTGACTGGCTGACCCTAGTTCTGCATTCACTCCCCTCCATCTGGGTGTTCTTGTACAAGCTTTTGATAGCTGTCCTAAATACCTTTATATGTTAACTGGAAAGCATGAAATTGCTGTCTTGCTAAGTGAAGTGTCAAGATAAGAATGCTTTTGCCCTCTGCCTTTAATCAGATTGATGAAGATGAAACGTGTCTGCACCTTTCGTGCAGGGCCACTCCAGCCCTTTTTTAAACAGATGTGAACTGTTCGGTCGGTGAGTTCCCAAATGTTAAATCAGCCCCTGTGTCATTTGGAAACTCAAAGCAGCTAATCTGCCATTATAGGGCAGGAAAAGTAAATCTGAACGTTTAACATTTTCTTCAAAGTAGCCTGCAATTCCAGGCTCGCGCTTGATGTTCAGGCTGTGAGTGCTTAACCTTTGGAGCATTGAAGATTCAGTCTGCACATTCTTTTCACCGAACATCTGTAAGTGATTTTCTGTGTAATTCTGGATCTGAATAAGAAAGAATTGGTGACGAGCTAATATAGGCAATTCTTTAAAAAAAACTGCTGTTCCCGTGCAGATTCTGCTTGAGGTTTGAGCTTTCAGAAGGTAAAGCTGAACAAACCTCAGACACCATTCCCCTGGAGCACTGAAGATTAGTCCTGTTGGCCACTCGGAAGCTTCCATAATCACTGCTCTTGAGCTGCATACTCCGAGGCCTGTTTTATTACAATTCTGGGTCACGCTACCCAACTCTTCACAAAGCAGGTTTCACACCTACTAGTAGTTTACAGACTAAATAAATATGCTAAATTATAAACTCACAATGTATTAGTGTGAACATGAAGGTGGTTTGTTTAAGCAGCTGCCCTTTTTGAAACGCACTGAACAGGCTTTGTCTTTTCCTGCTCCACCGCCTCACAAGCTTTCCTACTGCTAGCCAAGCGTGTAGGTTACAGCTCCAACCCCAAGCTGAAGAGACCTGTGTGATGAAGTGGGGGCCGTGGAGACCTGTGTGATGAGGGAGGGGCTGTGGAGACCTGTGTAATGAGGGAGAGGCTTCTCTGAAGTTACTGAAACCTAACTACGCACAAAGCATTTCTCTTTCAAGTCAAACCTTTGGGTTTTGTACTTAGTGTTTTTCCCGTGGTATAACTCTGGCATTCTCATCAGGCTGAGTAAACTCTCCTATGGGACACTGTAATTAGCACACAAACAGTACCTCTACTTCTGTCAGGCTACCCATTCAGTTCATAAGTTGCTGTTCAATGTCCATCAAACTTCTGACGTCTTTTTGATCTGAGCGACAAAGAAAGCTCTCCACCCTCCCACCCCCATTGATGGCCACAATAATGCTGTCATTACATTCAGCTGCACTACACCCAATGATTAAAGGTGAGGGAATGTGTTACCCTCAAACATTGTGAATTGTTAGTGACCTAGCGCCCTGCACTGGGGAAACCAGTTCAATTCTGATGTATCTTAATGGTAAAGTAATCCACTGTATTTTATTGGCTCTTGTGGCTAGTATTTCCCCAATAAGATGTCTAGATTTCCGCAGCAGGTTTGACTTAATTGTGTTCCTTGTATATATTGATGACGTGGATTTGCACACCCAGTGTAAAGCAGTTGGCGTCCTCCTGACATGAAAGGCTCTATTTTGTTGTTGTTACATTTGTAGATGTCGCTAAGTTGAGGAGGACTATGGGATTGGAAGGCGTTCGATGGTGTGCACAAGGGTTGATGATGGGCAATGAAATACAATATAGAAAAATGGAAGGACCAGCCTATAGGATGTAAAATAGGCGGTGCAATTACTTCATGGAATGGGATAGACCTTGACCTATCTGCCAGCTCCCAATCTTTGCCTTATTTAGGTTGCAGTTGATTTGTGCAGCTCCTGGCCTGTAACCAGGTTTAGTTTTATATAACTGACTGTGCAGGTGCTTTTCTCCAGTAATGTGTTATTACCTAGATCAGTGGTGGCCAATCCATTAAGCCCACTGAACATTTGCACGTGAGACTGTCTAGGCAAGACTGTTTTATATCAATGTTTTATTTCCTTTTTTTTCTTGATTGATTTATGACATAAAACAAGAAATATTCAGTCAAGAAAATTTATTTTGTTGCCCGAACAAAAGGGTGGCCACCACTGAACCAGATAAATGAGAATTCCTGTTGAGAGCAAGGTTATTGGGAAATGAATCCTGTTCTGGGGGGGAAATGCCCTGTCATGTGTCCAAAATTCCTGCGTCTCGCACATCAATCGTTCCGAGAGAAGAAAAAATGAGGAAAGTGAGAGCCAGCCCAGTGGTTTGCATTCCTGCTGTCGCTCGTCTTAACCATTGCCCGTGTGTGACTGCCTGGGGCACGGGGCACAGAGAGCTCCTGACCTCCCTCCAACTACCTTTTCATTCCCTTTCCATAGCTCAATTTGAGATATACACAGCTCCATTTACACAGCAAATCTGCGTACAATCCACCTCTTAGAGTCGCTCTGAGCATCAATGGAGCATTTCAAGTATAAAGACAAGTGAGGCAGATACTCAGGCAGGACAGGTTTTGGGTGCATTTTAGTTCTGAGGATTTAACAAATTCCCTTTGCAGTTTCAATGTTGTTTCTTAACATCCTTTTCCTGGTGTGTGTGTGTGTGTGTGTACATGGGAGAAACATTGAGTATATGTATGAGCATCGTGTAGGTTTTTAGTTGTTAAAATGAGGATTTCTGTTGCAAATCTAACTGCTCGTATTGTGGACTAGTATATCTGAAAAAATGTGAACTGAGTGCTAATTCTCCACCTAACTTGTAATACTAAAGAGAAGGCTGAGACCACTCTGCTAAATACTCAGTCTCGCTGTCAGTTGTTATTTCTTGCTGCTGTGAGTATTCTGACTGTAGTTGCCTTCTGGGGGTAGAATAATAATAATTTTGCATTTGATATAGTACCTTTCACATAAAAAATATGTCTCTGAACGCTTCACAGGATACACTGTAACATGTAGTAACTCTGTTTTGTAGGCAAACGCGGCATCCAATTTGCACAGCAGTGTCCCACAAACAGTCATGGAGTGACTGACCAATTTTATTGGGGGGGTTTAAACTCCCTTTTTGTGATTAGTGCCACAGGAATTTTAAAGTCCATCTGAACAGGCAGAGACTGGTTTAATGTCTCATCCGAAGGACAGCCTAGACTGTGAGTGCAATGTCCCCGATGTGTAGTTTGAACCCAAAACCTTCTGACTGAACAACCTTCTGCGAGAGTGCTACCAACTGAGCTACGCTGCCACATGGTACAGGGTGGAGAAGGAGAAGCTAGATCATGGTCTGTGGTTGACGAGCTGTATTAATGGTCCATCAGCAAGCAGCTTTGCTGTTCCATCGCTCGGCTGCAGAGGTCAAGGGGGGGAATGAGATGCTCATGAAGTGTTAATTATGTGGGTGTATGTTGTGTTTTTGTTGGAATAGATACATTCCGCCCTTGATCTGGGGGAAGAGTGGTCACATTCAGACAGCGTTGTACGGTAAAATGGGCCGAGTCAGCTCCCCCCATCCGTACGGACTGCGCAAGTATCTCTCTATGCCTGACGGGGCCACCGCCTCCTTTGATCTCTTTGAGCCTTTATCAGAGCACAGCACCGGAGGTAAGAGACGTGGCTGGGATGAGTGGGTGGGTGGCAGGCAGTGGGTGAAGGAACTTGTAACTTTAAGCTTAAAGGTCACTGGTGTCAGAGCTCCGAAAAAACTAAGCGTGGGAATGTGAATTGTAACCATTGTGCATTGAGAAATAGTGAAGTTTATGAATTATTTCTACATAAATTAGTGATTGTAGTCAAATTAATTTAAATTTCCAGCAGGTTCATGGTGTGTGTGAGGCTGGTAATCCCAGAGCGAGTTTGGGAAACTGGGTGATGGCGTGATCGTTGACCGAATAGCGGCTTCCTGTAATGTTAGCCACAGTTGTGTTAGACACACTAACAATACTATAAGCGGAGATTAAACTCACATGACTATTGAATCAAAGACATAAGTAATAAGGTATGATTGTTTTGAAAAAGTGGAAGTGAAAGCATGAGCATAGGTTAGAAATGGCTGTCAGTCAGCGAAGCTGCTGGTTTGCTGGCTGATTCACTGAGGGCTTTACTAACTGATGTTTTCTTACCACCACCAGAGGATGTGACGATGGTGATTTGCCCTGGCATCGCGAATCACAGTGAAAAGCAATACATCCGCACATTTGTGGACTGTGCCCAGCGGCGCGGGTACCGGTGTGCGGTGCTGAACCACCTGGGGGCTCTGCCGGACATCGAGCTCACCTCTCCTCGCATGTTCACCTATGGTAAGCAAGCCTTCACCTGGGTGGGGGGCGGGGGCTGGTCACATCCGAACTGGAGAGAGTACTGGGGGGGTCGGCTAGTGTGTTTCTAAAGCTCTTCCCAAGCCATTACTGGTTTGTGCAGTGACTGCTTCAGTATGCAAACGCTGCAGCCTTTCTGCGTCAATAATGTGCCATGAGGTGACTAGCCAGTGTTGTTTTCTAGAGGATTGTTGGCCAGGATGCTCGTTTGGTGTGAGGTTGAAATAAGTCACACAGCAGTGTAAATAGACCTTTTGGCTTTCGGCTTTAACCGAAAAATCCCAATACAAAAAAATTATTTTATCCAATAAACCCCGGAAAACACCATAAACAGTTACCTGTTCTGTTGCCGGCTGTGCCTGTGTTACTCTCTTCCTCTGCCTCTCCCTCTCCCCTCAGTGTGTGCAAGTGATTCTGAACCTTCTCATTTGAAAGCCTGAAAACCCCAATGATTTAGAACTCTAAAAAATAAACCCTGGAAAATGACATTTTAAACCCCTAAAATGCTGCAGCTATGCTGCAGTGTGTGGTGCTGAGGTCACAGTGTGATTGAGAGGGTGGCTGAAGGGGAAGTCAGGCCCACGCCTGGCTCTGAATTGAGAGGTTACTGTGAGGAACAATATTTGTGTTTGCTTAGGTGTGCCGGGCACTGCATGTTCAAACACCACCTGAAACTGCTGAATGCCTGTGTAATTATATAGCCCTTAAGATTAAAATTCAGCTGTGTTACTGTTTAGTAAGTTAATGAGCCTTTAACTGCTGCCTCTGAAATGACCTTCAAACTAATCTAAAGACATGTAGTGTCTGGGTGCAAGAAAAATGCCATGAATATCTTTTATGTTTGCAACATCATTAATTCCAACTTTGTTCTTTAATCCTTCCGCATTTCAAAGGCGGCAGGTTCCCGTGCTCCGCAACTCTTTTTCTTTTAAAAGCTTTGCGTTTCAATAGGCTTTCCACTCTGTCCACAACAACTGAAGGAATGCTAACGAACTCTCTCTAATGACGGGGGAATGCTTTTGTCACTGTACAATAGTGGGTGATATTTGTGGGAGCAGGAGGTGGGGTGCAGGAGACAGGAGGCAGGAGGGAGTGGGGAGAGTGAGATCTGGAGTTATGAAGCAAATTATTTTTGTACTAGTTGTAGGTCTGTTAACCAACCCTCTCAAACACCCTGTTTGTACTTCTAAGTGTCTGTGATGTTCCTCACTTCTATTGTACTGCAATACAATGCGGATGGAGCATTGAGTCAGCTGCTGACGTTTATTCTGGCAGTGAAATTGGGAGCAAATGTTCCGAAAAATGTTCCGGTTAAAATGTGTTTTGAAATGTTTTTTCTGTACTGACATTGTCCTGAGATTCGTGTTAACACAAATTAATGTAAGCACAATACACACTTATGTTCACTATCAAAACAATACACACTTATGTTCACTATCAAAACAATACACACTTATATTCACTATCAAAACAATACACACTTATATTCACCATCAAAACAATACACACTTATATTCACCATCAAAACAATACACACATATTCACCATCAAAACAATACACACTTATATTCACTATCAAAACAATACACACTTATATTCATTATTAACATGGCAATGTGAAAATAAGCTCTGCATGAACAGCAGTAAATGTGATGAACAGTAAAGAGACAACAGCAGTCTGTCCCTCATTGTGGGCCAGACTGAGGCAGTGCGGCTGCATTAAAGTTTGCATGTTGGGGGGGAGTAGCCGGCTGAAGGAATGTTTCCTTTTGCAAGTGATCCCACATTTCTCCTCCGCGTAGTAAGTGCTGTGCTGCTGTGGTAGAGCAGTTAAGCTAATCATACCCGGAGTAGAAGCCCCTGCTGCCCGAAATAGAATGCCCCTGCTGCCCGCTGGGGTGATGATCGGTGCTGGGACTGAACAAGCCTCGCTGCTGTCACTGGGTATCGATGCCCCTGTCATGGAACAATGTCTGCCTTGTGTTTTCCAGGGTGCACGTGGGAGTTTGCAGCGATGGTAAACTACATTAAGAAAAGCTTTCCTCAGACCCAGCTGATCGTGGTGGGTTTCAGTCTGGGCGGAAACATTGTTTGCAAGTATCTGGGGGAGAATCGTGTGAACCAGGAAGCTGTGTTGTGCTGTGTCAGCGTTTGCCAAGGCTACAGCGCATTACGGTAAGTCTGATAAAGGCCAGGGAATAATAATTCTTGCTTTTGATATAGCGCCTTATCACATCTTCGAAATGTCTCAAAGCACTTCACAGAATATACCTTATGCAAGTGAATTGACTATATTTATGAAAGGAAATGCAGCAGAGAATTGTGCATAGCAGTGTCCCACAAACTGGTGGATTGAGTGATGAGATGTATTATTATTTGTTTTTTTTAAACGGATTATTACCCCGGAAAAGTGATCTGCCAGTTGACTAACAATCGGATTCCTACTTGCTGCTTGGTAAATAGAGGCGTGTAGAGTAAGGAAACTTGCCCAAAGTTTTGCCCTGCCCAGGATTCAATCCCAGGTCTTCTCGCTTGTGAGGCGAGTGCTTAACTACTGAGCTACAGGACTCCATGGTTTCATTCTCCGTTAACAATAGCACTTTATTAGACCAGCCTGAGATGCTCAATTAGCTGAGAATTCCAAATTTAATTTGCACCAGATCCTAATCCCCGCTACCTCGGTCGTTATGGGCATTTCTTGAACAATAACCTGCGTCCTTTACATTGGGTTATTCAACAAATTCAGTATCGGTGGCAATCTTAAACTAAAACTAATGCTATCTAAAACTTTACGTTATTCTCTTAAAGGTATATGCTGTTAGACCATAAATAAGAGCAGTTGTGAGTGCCAGTGTGTGTGATCACTGCATGTAGATTGTGCTGAGGTGCAGGAGGAGAGCCTCCTCTGTGGTGTAAGGCTCAGCTCCACATGTGATACCGTAAACCCCATCTCTGGCAAAGTCTGAGATGGGCCTCTCGTGGTGGCTCGTGGGTACTGCATACCCTCATCCCAGAACATGGTCGGATGTCTGTCTCCCCCCAGTCTGGGGAATTGCTTGTATAAACAGACTGTCCAACTTGTCAGCTTGCCCCGTAGGGGAAGATAATTAAATCCTCTGGGCCATGTGCAACATGCACTGTTTTTGTGAGTCCCTCATTCCTTATATTCTCCTTGCTGGTTCCTTGTGTGTCCTGACGGCAATTCCGTGCTGCCTGTGAGGGACTGCAGCCTTGTTTTACACAATAAAGGTCATGCATTGTAAACAGATGGCATGGCCTCCCATTTGTAGCCATTGACCTTACACTTACTGGCCACCCAGGGAACAGCCTGTGTGACGTCCCCAGTCTCGGGGGAGAGGAGCCTCCACACAGTCGGCCAACAATCAAACTGATTTTTTTTTAAAAAGAAAACTTGTGTGAGCAGTTTTTATGCAAGTTTCAGTTCTGGAGTTCTGCTTAGTTACATTTAATACAATTATTGGTGCTGTTTGAGTGAGGATTGAGCTGTGAGGTTGGCCTGGATGTGAGGCAAAAGTGCCCTCCCTGCCACCCCTCGGTGCCCTCCCTGCCACCCCTCGGTGCCCTCCCTGCCACCCCTCGGTGCCCTCCCTGCCACCCCTCGGTGCCCTCCCTGCCACCCCTCGGTGCCCTCCCTGCCACCCCTCGGTGCCCTCCCTGCCACCCCCCGGTGCCCTCCCTGCCACCCCTCGGTGCCCTCCCTGCCACCCCTCAGTGCCCTTCTTGCCATCCTGTGATCAGGAGGATGTTCCGGGCCAAGTTGGTGTGAAGTGGTTCAGACTGACATCGAGGGCAGAGCAGTGGCTTTACTTTTGCTCCAGTTCTGAAGCTGTACAGGTTGGAATGGTTAGAGGGAATGGCTGGAGTGAGCAGGTGAATGTTAGGGAGAGAGATTTAAGTGGCAGGAGATTGAGAGGTAATTGGAGAGCTAATGTGAGCAGCAGAGGTGTGTGAAGGAGCACTCACACCTGTGTTAGGGAGAGGAAAGCATCACAGCCACACCGGCAGTGATTGGATTCTTCCTTGTCTCAACAAGGCTCTGGGAACTAATAGATTTGCCTTGTTTGCTGAGCTGTAGTGCTGTCTCCACCTGCACCTTGTGTCGCCTAAATACTCGGCTATCAAGCCGGTTTGTAACTCCACTTCCTATCATTAACGGCCAGAAGTTATTTACAGGAAAAAAAACATCTGGTTGCTTTCAAATCCTCTTTATTGCCACAAGGAAGATACGAGCTGCGGAAATTGCCCGTTTAAAATTGGGGTAAAGACTGAGGTCGATGCTGCAACAAAATACAGATGGGGGAAATTAACCCTTTCATGCCTCTGTCTGAAGATTAATTTAAAATTGTTTAGATGTGGGTTAACTGCACAGAATGCTGGCATGTGTAGTTTGCCTCTTATGTAGTGAATTAGTTGGATGTGGAGGAGAGGCTGCGAGGGGCAGGGTGACAGGCAGGACTGAGGGGAAACACAATGGATTTTCATTCCTGTCGGCGGAGGGCCACGCTCCCAGAGATTAGCTTCTATGTACATCCTGTTGTGTGAACTTTGAAAACTGACCTAAGTAGTGGAACAAGTTGATCTGTGTTGGATCATGAAGTTGGAGTGCTGTGGCTAAATAGTCATGTTAAGTGGAAATTTCAGCTTGGATTAGAATCGTGGTGTAACAAAGGGCCTCTTGCTAAAGCTTTCTTTCTTGCAGTCAGTCAGTCGTTCGTTCGTTCATTCATTCATTCATGGGGCCTGTTCCTGAGAAGATGCTGTTTGCAGTGAAGCTGTCCTGAGATGTGGTCACCGTGACAATTTAACCTTGTTCACAAAGGAGATTGTTTTGCTTACAAAACATGCAGTCAATCCACTTTAGAGTATATTCTGTGAAGCGCTTTGAGGCGACTTGAAGACTTAATAAAGCGCAATATCAAATGCAAGGATTATTATTAGTATTATTGTGCAGTAAACTAAAGGGTGATGCTGTGTTTTTGACCATGTGAAGTTAGAAGCTGTTGCATGCAGTATGAATTTGGAAGCTGTAGATATATGATTACGAAAGAATTTCTTTGATTTTTCCATTGATCTTTGTGACAATTCAGTCCTAAATGCACATCACTTTTAGCTCTGTAGAAAACACGCTAGCTCTGCCTTTAAGGTGAAGTGCAGATGAAATGTCAATGCACTGATTTATGTGTGTTGTCTGTCTCCTCGCAGGAAGACCTGGTATCGTGCTGGCATGTGACAAACCCAGATCAACTTGTTTTTGTTCTGTTTCTGTTCAGGGCACAGGAAACCTTCCTACAATGGGACCAATGCCGGAGGTTTTACAACTTCCTGATGGCAGACAATATGAAAAAGATTATTTTGTCTCACAGGTGATGTTAATTGTGTCGCTCATTCACATCTTCAGTCACGTGTGTGCCGTGTTGCCAATTGCGATTTGGTGTGTTGCAGCTTGGGAGGGGAGGAGTTTTGCCTGTTGGGGGGGTGGGGGGGAGTGTTGCCTGTTGGGGGGTGTGGGGGGGAGTGTTGCCTATTGTGTGGGGTGGGGGGGGGTTGCCTGTTGTGTGGGGGGGGGGGTTGGGTTGCCTGTTGTGTAGGGGGATGGGTTGCCTGTCGGGGGACGGGGGGCTTGCCTGTCGGGGGACGGGGGGCTTGCCTGTTCGGGGGACGGGGGGCTTGCCTGTCGGGGGACGGGGGCTTTGCCTGTTCGGGGGACGGGGGCCTTGCCTGTTCGGGGGACAGGGGGGCTTGCCTGTTGGGGGGACAGGGGGGTTTGCTGTTGGGGGAGCGGGGGGCTTGCCTGTTGGGGGGATGGGATGTTGCCTGTTGGGGGTGGACGGGGTGTTGGCTGAGAAATTTTGTGCTTAAATATGCCTTTTGTGCGTTGTAGACAAATTTTGTTTGGAGAAAATGGCTATAAAACGTGCAGCTCTTTGGCGGATGTGGACCTGAGCAGACTGTACACAGCGACCTCCCTGATGCACATTGATGATAACATTATGAGGTAAGTGGCTGTGTTGGAGACTAGTCCATTTTCACAAAGCTCTTGTGTTGTTTCCCAATGGACTAATTATCTGAGCATTAAATAGCTAAAAGCCTTTACCCCACATTTGATACCAATCTAGTTATTTTGCCTTGTTTTATAGTAAATACTGAACACTATCACAGAGTGCCAGCTAAATGGTTTTGCTTGTAATCGCATGAGTGCAGTCACAACGTGCTTCCTTCTAATTATTTTGTATTTTCATTGTAGAAAATTCCATGGCTATAGCACGCTGAAGGAGTATTATGAAAGAGAGAGCTGTATGCGCTATCTTCACAATGTAAGTGTCTTGATTTCAATTGTAACCTGATCCGTGCCTTTGAACAAAGTCTTATACTTACATTATCTTCTAGTGTCTTTACAATAATCTATCTCTGGGATTTCCATGTGTAGATGGGCTGCATGGAATTCTCAGCTTGGTTTGAATACTCTTAAGCAACGGTGATGGGCTCCCACATGTGTCAGACACCCGGCTGACCCCCAAAAAAAATCGCTTTAAAAAGAATTTTTGAATTTTATTTCTGAAAGGTGTTTTGCTGGAGGTCAGACAGTGAGCATTCAGATCTGTCTGGTGTCGGGGAGTAAATGTGGAAATGGATGACTCTGGCTTCTTTTCTCTCTACTGCTGTTTTTCCTCTTACCCTCCCCGCTGCAGTGTGTGATATCTGCATCAACCCCCATTTCCATCTCTCACTGCTCCGATCGGACTTGTCATAGCCCTACGTTGTTCATACAAATTTAATTTGGGTGTAAAAGGGCCCAGCAGCAATGCTCGTCGGTTTAGGACTTGTTCCTTTTCACATTGGTGGAAGCGGGAATGGTTGAAAGTGCAGGAAGTGTCATTCAGCCTGTGTGTGAGGTGAGCTGCCCTTCTGTTCCTGGAATGTGAACCAACAGGATACAGATCAGCGAGAGAGTCCCTGAGGCTTTGAATGGCTTAAGGACATAGCTTATCAGCAGTCGTCATTCCCGTACAATGGATGTACATCAATTCTTTGTCTGTTCGTGGGTAAATATAAAACGACCATTGAGTGGCATTGGGTTCCAAAGCTGTAATACAATCAAAGCGCTCTGATGTGCCAGTTGTCACAACAAAGCACACGTAAAGCACAGATCATGTTATAGCCAACAGTGTCGGAGCACATACTCTGTGTGCCATCTCCCGAGTTCCTGTTTCTCTTTCCTGCTCTTCCACCCACTTCACCCACCCACCCCCCGCTTCAAGCAAGGAATGGTTGCTAATCTGATCCTTGCTCACAATTTAGGAAATGTCCTTGTTGTAAAGGATAGCATGTAAAGTATCATCTCTGTTTTGTAAATTAGTGTCACTGTCTCTTATATCATCCACTCTATAACCTCCCCTTGTCAGTCCAGCTCCACTCCCGTGCACCTGTTTACATTGATTCGCCCTGGTTTCTAAACCAGGTCAAAGGGATTATATAAAAAGCTGATGGGTGGAGGCAAGTAGCCTGGGCTTGGGTCTCCTCACAGCCTCAGGACCTTGTATAATGACTGGTTGTTAACTGTTGCCACAGATCCACGTCCCTCTTCTGCTGGTGAATGCTATGGATGACCCTCTAGTGCATGAAAGCTTACTGACTATTCCTCGGTCGCTGGCAGGTGAGCTGATTGAGAAACTCTCTGAAGATAGACTTGTACACATTGTGCTGGCACTGTCACACACTGAGCATGAGGTAAGGCACTGCCACACACTAAGCACTGCTGTGTTCAGTTACATATAAGATGCACAGTATAAAGTTACAGCAATCGCTTTTAACAGATTAGTTCCTAAACTGAGTGTTGGGGAAGCTTCACATCGGGATGAAACACTTCTGTCATAGTTGAAATGGGTTGCACACGTGGGAGTGAGCGTCTCATAACCGTGAACTCTGACCTGAATTGTGTGGGTGGGGGAGCGGAGGGATTATATTGTGTGGTACCTGGAGCGAGGCAGTGCGGGGAGAGGGAAAATGTGTTTGTAATAGGGGACGATTCACAGTGAACGAGCTGCGTTTGTGCAGGAATCGCCTAGCTGCAGATCCCTCCCTATCGTTCATGTGGTGGGGGGGTCGGATGGCGGCGAGAAGTGGGGTGATGGGCAGCAGGTCAGGCGGGGCCCAAGGCCTGACATGAGATGGTTCATAAGCAAACTGAACCTTTGAGTTAGGGAGTATCATGGATCTGGTTATGGTTGTCACAAGCAGAGTGTAGGTTGTAAGGCAAGAACATTGAGGTGGATTAGCTCAGAAGCCGCCATCTCACTGTGCTTCTACTTTACTGTACAGTGTTAGCCTGTCGTTCTTGCTGCCTGTGTCTTGGAGAATTCACAGTGCTGCAGCCTAATCCCTTTGTACGTAAGCTCGCTCAGTCCTGGGCTCCTATCTCGCGACACTCACTTTACACAGACATTTTTAGCAGCTTTAATCCTTTCACTTCAATTTGTAGATAGTTCTTTTATCTCAGCAGTAAGAGATCACTCGCCTCCCTCCCAGGGGCGGGGGCTTGGTGGTGGGGGCGCTCAGTGGTCAATGGGGGTAGGGGGCTGCTGAGTGCCGGTGGTGGGCTTGCTCTTGCTTTAGGCACGTTTAGGCACCGGTGGGTGGAAAATTCCACCCAGTCTCAGCCTGTGGGACCAAAAGTTTAAGATACACTTTGCAGTATATTCTGTGAAGTGCTTTGGGACATCTCGAAGACATGATAAGGTCCTATATCAAATGCAAGGATTATTATTATGATTCAGGATTGTGGAAAATGCTTCAAATGCAGCATTAATTTGGAAGCCAAGGTCTTAACTGCTGAAACAAAACCATCCGGCTTCAAATTGAACTTCCACAATTCTGCACAATTGGACATTTTTAAAACAAATTCCAGGCTAAGACCAAGTTGGAACTTAGGGACTTGGGAGGTGCTCACTGAGATTTGCTTTGATCTGGAGACACAATGTGCCAACCGCACTCCCCAGTGTTGACCTCTGGAACACCTGTGTTCACATTACGTAGCCTGAGAGAGACCTGAGCTGTAGTGGCTAAATAAAATTGGTTATTCAATTCATGGCTGTTTTAGGGGTCATGAGTTTCCATTGCAATTAACAGATTATTAATAATAATAATAACCCTGGCATTTGATACAGCCCACACCCCAACTTCTCAAAGTGCTTCACAGTAAATACCATCAGGTGCAGCGACTGTAGAGGAACACAGTAGCCAATTTGCCCACAGCAATGTCCAACTAACAGCCATGGTGCATTACATACATCAATACATACACTATTATGTCCAATGTTTCTTGTCTATCCAGACAATCCCAGATAGGTGATGCTCAGTGGAGGACAGGATGGTGATTTGACAAAGGGGAAAGTTGTTCCCATTTTCCAAGTGTTACCGTATTATTTAAAACATCTGCAAGTTCATCTCTGTGTTTAAAAAGTATTATTCCTCTTGACCTGGCGATGTTTGTGTGCAACCAGAGAGCTGCCCTCAGCCCAGGGCCTGTGGAGTGAATGCAGCGGCCACTCTTGTTTGCTGGATTCCCTGTTACGTACAGGCTGCCCTGAGTCTAGAGCGAGAAACCGCTCAGCAGCTCTGATGTTGTTGTAACGTGTGCCTCCACCTGCAGCCACAGTTCAGAGATTGAGTATGAAATGTGTTGGGGTTAATGAGCAGAGCCACAGGTGCTGCAGATAAACAGTGTGCTGGACAAACACAGTGCCCTGAGGGACATCATTGTTCTTTATCTGCATCTTTTAAACTAAGAGTATTCATGGCTTTGGAACCCTGTAATTAAGCCCTGGAATGTGTCGCACACAGCACCCTGGTTTGGGTGCTGTGTGTGATACATTCCAGGAAGGGGCAGTGTCACCCTGAGGCAGGCTAACTGTTTAAAAGGTTTATAGTTGGTGATAAACAAATGTGTTGTGTAAATTCAGGGAGTTTCCATTCACAATCCTGCTTCTTCACCCATAAACTGCTCCAGAATTTCAGCAGTCTAAGTGGTTGAAAGATGACTTTTCTATAACCATGAGTGAAGTAACCGGCCTGTCTCGACATCAAATTAGATAGATTTCTGCTAGAAAATAATATCTGGGAATACAGTATATGGTTTGGGACACATGTCAAGTGACTGCCATGAAGGCGAACTAGATAGACCTTGGTTTTCTTTGGCCAGCGAATTCTTATGTTTTTATCTGACCCAACATCATGACCCTGGACACCAATTCCCTGTGAAGCGCTTTGAGATGTTTTGGTGATATCAGCACTGTATGAATTGCCAGGATTAGGGATAGTGTTGTGCCTGATGTCCCTGGAGGCTGAGCTGTGTGGGGGATTCTGACCTTGTTCTCTCTGTTGTTCCACAGAGAAAAAGGAGAACGTTATGTTTGTGCTGACTCTGCATGGAGGGCACCTGGGCTTCTTTGAAGGTGCGGTGCTGTTCCCAGAGCCGCTGACGTGGATGGATAAGTTGATTGTGGAGTACACCAACGCTGTCTGCCAGTGGCAGAAGAACAAGTCACACTGTGCGGCAGCCGCAGAGCAGTCGTGCTCAGACCAGAGCGATTAGCCAGCCCTCGCCGCCCATTGCCAAACTCCTCGCTCACCACCCTTTCCTTTAGCACATTCCTGGCCTGGGTTTGGACCTTAAAAACTCTTTCCCTGCTATTAATGTGGTTGAACCAGCAGAAGTGCTCTGCCTGCAGCCAGTTAAGTACAATTATTGAGCCCTCTTTGCCTTTCTCTAATCAAAGACCTGGTACGGCAGAACTCTCTTCCCAGAAGCTGTTCCCAGAAGTTCGAGAAGCTGGAGCGGAGCAGTCGGACATGAAGCGAGCAAGTGAGCTGTTTTTCCCAGGCAGATCCTCGCCGTGTTCCTGACGGACGGGTACCCCTGTTCCCGAGTGGCTGCAGACACTGTAGCAGTGAAGAGCCGGACGTGGCTCTTTACCGGGGAGGGGGACAGAATGTGCCCCTCCGCCTCTCCAGGGAAGAACCTGGCAAACCGATTCCTTTGTGTTTGGCCTTTCTCAGACTGGAGCTCACTGATCTGTCCTATCCACAGCTGGCCTGTGCGATCGATCTCTCCGGAGCTCCAGTGTTTATATTTAACAGCACTTACTGCAGCGTTAGGTCGGCAACACATTATGTAAAACACTTCACCAAAGCCTCGCCCTGTGGCTTCCAGCCCCCACCATACTCTCTCCTGTCGCTGGGGGTCTGAGCTTTGGTTCTTTGATGGGATTCACATTGACCTCAGCCCCATAGAACTCTCCTTGTGTTTTCCTGCAGTTGTTGAGTATCAACCTTACCCATCACATTAGAGGGAAGCTTTTATTTAATTTTGTTTTTCACGTCACGTTTAATCAACACAAAAGTAATGACCACGGAAACTGGGTTATACAGAGGTTGAGCTGCCCAGTGAGTATTCCCTTTCAGCATTCCACTGGGAGGCCTGACGAACTCTTAATTATCACAAGGTCTGATCTTGGCCACAAATCCTCCTTGTTGATTGCACCGTACCGTCACCACCATTCGCCTCACTTTGCACAAGCTCATGCTGGTCACACGGAAAGAGTGGTGGGAATTGCAGCCCGTTGCCATGGCATCCAGTGATGGTGCCCACACCACCTTTCAGTAAGCAAGAGCTCACATGTTGTCTATCTCTGAAACTTTCTGACATTCTGTTGTGTGGTCTCTTATTCCCCCACACCTCCCCAATCCACTCTCACATCTCTGCCCTGTACTGCCTAGAGGTGATGGATCAGTCTTCACCAGTATTTTTATTTAATTGAGGATGGTTTAGAGTTTGCGAGCTCTTGTGGCTTCAAGTCCCACGCTTTAATGGCTAGTGCAAGCATTACTGGTTGAGGCTCTCCAGGAATAGATTTATTGGTGTAACATAAAAGCCACGGTTTCAGACAATTCATACCAGTTGGCTCCTGTCGCCAGCAACGCTCTGTCTGTCAGAACCTCTATCGCATCCCAAGTCTTAAAAGAAAAGCATTTGACCTCCATTAAATCCTTCATGTTCTCTCCTCATCTGCCTGAACCTAATAAACTGTGAAATTTGAAGCGTTTCATAACTTCTTCTTGTGATAATTGTATAGTTATGAAACGTTGCAGATGTCACAGTTTCCCATGCTTCCTGCCTTCGTGACTGGGCAGTGAGGCCAGGGTGGGACCACAGGTCAGTTCGGAGCTTCAGCAGTTTAACTATCTGTCGTCAAACCCAGAGCTGTAGCACATTCAGCCTTGTAACCGGCCTGGCTGCTCGCCAGCTTTTTGACTGATTTGGAAATGTGAATATTACGATGCTGAAATCTTCGGGTCTGTGCAGCTCATCACAAACGCTTCAGCTGTGTAACCCAGGCACAGAACAGAGCACAGCTCATTCACACTGTGCCATGCGATCGGCGGGTCCCTGACATTGAGCCAGACTGTGTGTGTGTGTGTGCTTTGTGTCCGAGTAGCAATGGCAGCAATCTGCCTGAGCGAGTCTGGAGAGGCCGAGCAGAGTACATTATTGGCTATGTCCAGTCCTCATTCATCTCTAGATGTTAACACAAGGGTTTAGGGTTGCTGCTCACAGCTGCCAGGTGACTTCAAAACCAGGTAGCAGATACCTGTAAATAGGTGTTTCTAGAGCCACCGACTTTTGGTCAGTTTAAAGCGTTACTCTAATTTCTGTCCCACTGTAAACCTTGCTTTGTTCAGGTAACTAATGCATTGATCGCAAAGCTGTGTGAAGAGCGGACACACACAGAAAGCACTTAGTTTTGACAAATGGTCTGGTGTTTAAATGGTTTCGAAGCCGCTGTTTTTCCGTGTACTTGTGCTCATACCATACTGTTCCAGTTGTCGTCAGTGAGTGGAGTTGAGTAATTGTGCGTGACTCCATTTATCTTCAATCCTGTTCTATCTGAGCTTTGCTATCTTCCCTTCATTTCCTTTTGCACTTGTTCATTTTCACAGCTTTATTTTGGGTGCCTCATTCCCGGCTGGCCTAGCCCATTCCCACCCACTTTCTCTTACTCTTTGAAGACCAAAGAAAAGATGTACTTGATTATTGGATGGTGAGATGTAGTTATTGCAGTGAGAATTAAACCATGGGGAGTGAGGGTGTGTTTGTGAAATGGGCTCTTGCTGAAGGTTCTGCTTCTCTATCTTCCCGGGCAGGGCAGGCTGCTGTTTCTAGCTGCTGGCAGTTGGGAACGTGTGTGTGTGTGGCTTTAGTGTAAAGGGACAGGTAGCCGGCCAGACTGAGGTGATGCCTGAGATAGTGGAACCTTGTCCTTGGGAGGTGAAAACCAAATGGAAGGGGGTTGTTGAGATGTTTAATGCGCTACTGGTTTCTCTGCTGTCAAAGCTACTGCTGCCCATTCAAGTTGTGACCATCAAATTTTACTCTTACTCAGGTTGAGGGCTTCGGCAGAACTTTTAGATGAATTTACTAACTGGTCACAACACCAGGAGGTTCCTGACTGAAAGCACTTCTGGCACCTGGCACTCTGTGACGTTTGCTTTTTGTCACTGATTGTCTGATCGGGATGGAATCAGAATAAACTCCTGATTGCCTAATTCTACTTTAGGTGAGAGGTCTGAATAATGCTTGAAACTATTTGCCGATCACATTTCAAAATGCTTCCACTTTCTGAGTTTCTAAAACAACTGTACCTTGTTTCAGCTCCCCCTCCCCCCGTTTCTACCAAGTCTTGCTGGAGAGTGTGATTGCCTCCCCCCCCACTCCCCAAACAAATTGGGGGAGACCTGTCCCTAATTGAGGAGAACGAGTGTGTTTGTGTTTGCGGGTGGGTATGATTTTTATAATAATTTCTGTCAGACTCTGTAAAACAATTGTTCTGTATGACTGTTCCGCTCAAATACTTAAGTGTAGAGTAATGCAGACACGTGGGCAGCAAGTAGTGCTGTGCGGAGGGTTTCTGTGTTCTGTGTTGTGAGCAGGAGCAGTGTTGGGCACTGGCACATGGCTGGAGCGTTAGTCTACCTCCTGTCGCCAGTTGTGCTAAGCCTGTGCCAGGCTAGTGTCCGCTGTGGAAGATTTCTAGCAAAATCACGTTGGACCATGTTGGATACATGTTACTTGGTCATGGAGTTGACTTGAGTTTTTGAGGGAGGAAAAACATGGCAGGATTTGCCCTCTGGGGGGCTCTTCACCTCCACAAGTCCTTTAGCCTTTCACATTCCCAGTCGACCAAAGCAGTTGCCTTCAATGTCAAGAACACTGATAACTAGTTATTTAGCCAGGCTGCTTTTACTGATCACCAAATAAATGGTTGTTCTCCTGGCTGGCTTTTGTGCAGCAGTTGTGCACAGCCTGACACTGTTGTAGAAATATGTGTTGTGTTCAGTAGCTGAGTTGAAATGAAAGACACACAATTCCAGTGAACTAATTTATTTTCGTATAATTCCAGTTTGCCTTTTTCCATGTGTATTTAAAATGTTTTTTTCCTATAATTAGTGTGGCTTCCTTTCAAATTCCATATCCTTTTGGCTCAGACAAGCTAAGAGCAAAGGTTCACTGAAAACTCTGGCAAGAGTGGACCCATGAACCCTGCCACTGGTGCTCGCTCGGGTGTGGGCGAGGTGATCGCTCGGGTGTGGGCGAGGTGATCGCTCGGGTGTGGGCGAGGTGATCGCTCGGGTGTGGGCGAGGTGATCGCTCGGGTGTGGGCGAGGCAGCCCTATGTAATGTACCTATCCTGAGAGGCTGGATGTGGAGCAGTGCGTTACGCTGCTCTGAGAAGCTTCTGATGAAATATTCCCTCCACTCTCTTCATTCTCTTCACTCTCAGCAACATCAAATCAACCTGAACTCTGCTCATTGCCTTCAGGGGAATGAGGATCTTTTGGAATATTTTATCCTTTGCACTTTTCACTGTTTGTGTTTATTTTGTCAGTGTGGCCGTGGTCAGGATAAACTCATGGCTGGTTTGTGCAGCTGCTTCAGCCAATGGTCACTTGCATATCAGCCTGGAGGCCAGCAGCAGTGCCTCAGCCTGGGGTGCTGGTGTGAGACCCGAATGGCCCAGCCATTGGGCAGTGCCAACATAGTCTTTTTCCTGGTTGTGTTTTCAAGGCAAAACCCAGTCCCGCTCCGTGTGCTCTTAGTCTAATTGGATGAGGTATTAATGAGAGGAGCATTCCCTGTTCAGGAGAAGACTGTTGACCACAATGTTATTGGAAAAGAGAAAGCAGTTTCTCCCAGTGTCCTAGACATTGTTAACAGCACAGCAAAGGCCATTTGGCTCATGGTAGCTATCAGTCCCCCAGTAACTCACTTCAGCTCCAGGCTGTTTGTGGGCTTGCAAATACAGTCACCACAAGAGGCAGCAATTGCCTGTGAAGCGCTTTGTTATAAGACCAGGAGCTTCAGCCAGCCTATTGACAGCAGATTCTGCAGGCGGCGTGTGGTGGGACAGTGAGGCAGCCTTGCACATCGCTGCCAGTTATATACCTTCTGAGATTAGTTTTTTTTAAAACGAGAATAAAACCCACTCTGCCTTTGGAGAGTGAAAGGTCTTAACTCAGGTGAAGTGTTGTAGCGCTGTTATTCTGCGCTGCAATACCAGCCTGTCACATCAACCTATAGTTAAGAAGAGGCTGAGCTATTCTCCTGGCTGTGTTCATGTCGTGCTCTCAGTGCTGCTCACACCAGCTCCTGTGAGTTGGCAGATTCATATCATCTGGATGAAAGGCTGCTGTTTAAAGGCTGCCTCGTCTTTGTCACAGTTTGTACAATTCTTTCTTCGAGACTTGTGTGGATCAGACTTGCTACTGTAGCTGTCGTGTAAACCTTCCTCACCTTAGTGTCCAGCAGTCAGTGTCCTGCACACGTGCTCGGCACGGGCCAGAGCTGCTGTTAGCGAGATTCACGTCTGTGCAATGAGGCCGAAGTCCGTGCTGGACAGGACACACGTTTGCGGAGCATTGACCCTATGCTACTGTATGTCAGGGCCTGGCTGGGAAAGCTGCAATCGGTCCTCACGTTGTTTGGGACACGGTACTGACTTACCACACCCCACGTCTGCACTTGTGCTCAGTTCCCGGTGTCTGCTGACACCCCTCCCGGTCTCTGTCCCAGGCCGCACTCTCTGCGGGTCTCACAGGTTTCCAGTTAGTAAATTGCAGTGAAAAGCAACTAGCAATGCAATGAACATCACAATGTTTACCTTTTTGAATTTAATTTTTTCTTTTTTAAAAAAAATTGGGTGTTGTTGACCTACAGAGTGGAAATTGTGCAATTTGTTTTACTCTTTTTGTGTCGCATTATTACAACTGTTGTGATATTTTATGGACTTGTTTTCTGACTTCATGGAATTAAGTTTTGAATTGTTGAAATAAAGGTTGTGAATCTAAAACGTTCGCCTAAACACAATTACTCCACTTTACAGTAAACTTTAAGCGCTCTGGGATTCTACCCTGCGTGAGGGGCGCAATATAAATGTTGTTGCAAACCCTGTGAAGTGCTTTGGGATGTCCTTCTGAAGTGAAAAGGCACTGTACCAAATGTAAGTATTTTCTCTCTCGAGTTGCAATTATGATGATTTATTTATGTTCAGATAGATATTGAAGATAACACGGTGCTAACAAAAAAAATCACTCAATCCACCACTGTTTGTGGGAGTGTGCTGTGCGCAATTGGCTTCCGCATTCCCCCACAAAATACACAGTAAATCCACTTTACAGTAAAATCTGTGAAGCGCTTTGAGATGTCTCAACTGATGTGACAAAGTGCTATATCAAGTGCAGTATTATTATTAATCAGCGACTGCCTTTGCCACTGCGTTTTATAGGTATTCCCTGCGTGCGTTTCGAGACATTCTGATGGTATCAGCTGCTGTGATTATAATATATAACGATCTCCAGATACTGGTGATATCTGCATCAGGCATTAACCCGTCACAGCCGTTTATTCTGCTGCCGTCGCCCACTCCATGCTAACCGAAAATGTACAAAAATCTTTCATTCGTCTCTGGACATCTCACCAGCCGAGCCTGGTCTGTTTTCAGGGCAGAGATAGCTCAGGTGTTTCTCCTCCCCTGCGGCTCCCACACCAGCAGTACTCAGTGCACTGGAGCTGGAGATTGCTGCAGTGATTTATGGTGAGTGAGGGGTCAATTCAGATGTATTTACTGCCTCCATCTCTGGGTTGCGGTTGCTGCTGTCTGGGGGCAGATGTAGAGGTTTCCCCAATAAACTGCTCACTGGCCTCTCAGCCGCCCTGAGCAGCATTGCAGCGCCCCCAAGTGGCTGCCAATATTATAACGTCAGTGGCATCCCGGTCATTCCCTGACAGTCACCAATCCAGTGAATTTTCTTACTGGAAATCTCAGCTGCCAGGAAAACCCAACACAAATTCAAATGCCCCTTAAAGCAGGGTCCCAGCTCCCCGCCGGACTCTAACATGTCATTATCAAGACTGGAAAGAATTTGCCGCTCAAACACTTTTCTCCCAATAACCAACATTTATTGGTGACCGAAGTCGCTTTCACAGACGGAGGTGACACAGAATGGGGTCCAACCCTCTCACTGACCTGCCCCGAATAGGAAGTAGCCTCCACACTGAGTTCGCTGCTGGATTGGACTACACCAGCCCCAGTTACACAAAGTTACCCTCACCCTCGGCTCTGACGGCTTCTAAACGATGCTGTCCATGGGGACACGTTGTGCGCTATTAGTTTAAACAATTGGGACCTGACCCTGTGTGAGAGGCACTATATAAATGCAAGTTGTTGTTTTAGCTCAGTGCAGTCTGCAAACATTGCCTGTGGGCAATAGACAACCTAAACCATCAATATTTATACTAACACAGAAACTCAGTCACCACAGGGGCTGCACTCGGGACGTCAGACAATTCCAATCCACCCAGTAAAGTGCCGCGGGAATTGGTGACCTCCAGTGTGTGACATTGACTGACATTAAGCTAATCTCTAAATAACACCCCCACCCCACCACCACATAAGGCTATCTCTTCCACCTCCAGTTAAAGTGCTGTGTCTTCTGAGTCCGTGCTGGGGCCGAAGAGCTTGTCGGCAATGTCTTTGCCATTGTATTTGGGGAGCGAGCCCCCGAAGTCCGAGGGCAGGATGTCGGAGCTAATCTCGGTGAAGAACGGCTCCAGCTCGTCACCGTGAATGTGGACCTAACAGAAGCCAGGTTACAGCAACAGTGGTGTCCAATAACAGCCACAATAATAATATTACAACAGTCACTCTCACACTCACCATCCCCAATAACACTCACTCACACATTCACCGTTCCCAATAACAGTCACTTCCACTGTCATCTCACGCCAAGTTCTCACATTCACTGCCTCCTCTCACACTCGCTGTTCCCCTCGTGTACTCACACTTATTATTCCCCCTCGTACAAGAGAGCTCACACTCACCCGCTCCAATAGCTTACTCTTGAGGAAAGGTTTGACCATGTTGTAGGTGGTGGTGAAGTACCATGGTTGATGGATGAAATGAACCGCTTTAAAGCGGGCTGGGAATGAGTCCTGGGGGAAAAATGATAATAAGAATTCTGGCATTTGATTCAGCACCTTTCACCTCAAGAGGATATCTCAGAGCGCTTCACAGGATTGATTGTGTGTTTTGTGGGCGAAATGCAGCAGCCATAATGCGCACAGCAACGTCCCACAAATAGCCATGGATCCTTGTCTCTCATTGGCTCCCAACACCCACCTGCAGCATATCCACCATTTTCCTGAGCTCAGAAGCTTTGATGCCGGACGCCTGCTGGACTGTGAATCCCTTAAAGTTCTCAATGATACAGAATCCATTGATCTGCGTCTCCTCATTTTCTAGAAGCTTCTCCAGGATAACGCAGTAAGCACGAAGGATCTGATCCAAGGAAGAAATGGCTCAGGTCAAAACCAAAAGCCCAGTAAGAGACACTGTCGCTTCCTTTATCTAATGTGGAGACTCTGGTCCAGATCAGAGCGGGTGAGAGGGCGAGAGGCAGGGGGCAGCAGTTGCGTTGCTGGGGGGCAGTGGGTGAATATTGCTGGGGGGCAGCCTGCGAGTGTTGAGGGGCAGCCGGCAAATGTTGGGAGCTGGTAACTCGCTGTGCTGGGGAGGGGCAGGTTTTCACCTCATCAAATGTGATCTCCTCGTAGTCCCAGTTCTCGATGTTGAAGAGCAGCACCACACGGCCATGCTTGTCACGGCTGGTCAGCACGCCAGGGTAACCCGCCTCGATAGTGCTGCGCACGGCCTCCGGCGTCAGCTTCTCAAACAGCTCGGGATAGACGTCACGGAACCGCAGGTAGCCTGTCAACGAGGGTAGCGCGTCAGCCACAGGCAGTCCAGAGAGTGCCCATCTCCCCTGGCTCAGTGTGTCTCCCCCCGCCCGCGGCTTAGTGTGTCTGTCTCTGCCCACCAACTCCTTCCCACGCGGGGTCTCCAACGCCTTGGGACGTCCTCCCAACGTGAAAGGCATTTTACAAATGTAATTTTGCTGTTTTTTGTTGTTAAATATCCACCTGAACAGCGCGCAGACAGACGGGAAGCTCAGATTAACATTTCAACTGAAGGTTGGGGTCTCACAAATGTGCAAAGCCTTACGGTACACAGTGTCCCCACGGCCTCACCTTTCAACAGGTCGAAAGCTCGGCCCACGTCGAATTTCCGGGCTCTGATGAAGCGCAGGAAAAAGCCATCGTCTTTGTCTCGGCTTTTCTGCATTGCGGGGTCACCGCTCTCCTGCACCAGATTGCGCAGCTCCTGCACATAGTTTGCCCGCATCTCCACCACCTCGTTCAGCTCATCCTTTGCCTGTCAGTGAAACACTGTGAGTGGTCAACTCCCCTCCCTCCCACGCTAACCCCCACCCCTACCACCAAACTCTCCTCCCCCGCAATCTCCCACCGCACTCACCTCCCCGACCTACCTTCTGCACGGTGTGTGCTGGGAGGCTCTGACACTTGCCAAACACGGGGCCGTGGTCACTGGTGGTGAGGTGCTCAAGTTTGTTGCGGAGTGCCTGCTCCTCCTCCGAGACATTACGGAAGGTTCCGGGCTGAGACCAAACACACACAGCCCGTCATAGGGGTACTCAAGTTATAAACCCTTGTGTTTATATGGCGCCTCTCACATCAGAAGATGTCTCAAAGTACTTCTCAGGACACACTGTGATGTGCAGTGATTGTGTATTTTCTGGGTGAATGCAACAGCCAATTTGTGCACAGCTCTGTCCCGCAAACAGCCCTGACATCAGCTGATTTTATCGGAGGGGGGGAATGTCAACCAGAAGCACTTCAGGAGCAAAGGGTGTGTGTGTGTGTGTGTGTGGGGGGGGTGACACAGAGAAACTCGCAAACTATGATCACATGACATAAAATCGAGCACTGGATCTGTCACTTACTATCATATCCATCTTCGATGTCTCCTTGTAAAATCTGCAACAAAACCAGAAGAGATTTAGATACTGCAATGTGAACTGATCGTGCACTGCCCTGCGTGTCAGCCCCCACCCCCCACCCAGCATTGCCCTGGAGCATCAGCCTGGACTGGGAGCTCAAAGTCCCCAATGTGGGGCTTGAAACCACAACTTTGTGACTCAAAGGCAAGAAAGGAAATAGAGGAAAACAAGAATAGGTGGAGGCCATTTAGTCCATCGAGCCCATTCTAACAGTTCATTAGATGTCAGCAGATCTTTTAATCCCAATATAATAATTATAATCCTTGCATTTTATATAGCGCTTTTCACGTCTTCTCGACGTCTCAAAGCGCTTCACAAAATATGCTATAAAGTGAATTGACTGTATATTTGTGGGCGAACGCGGCAGCCAATTGCGCACAGCAATGTCCCACAAACAGTCATGGATTGAAAATGACCAATTTATTATTGCTTTGTTTTGGAGGATTATTATTAGGCTCTGTGTGGAGTAAGGAAACTTGCCCGAGGTTTGGCCCTGACCCCCCGGGGATTGAACTCAGGTCTCTCACTTGCAAAGCGAGTGCTCTAACCTCTGAGCTACAGGACATATCAAACATAATAATAATCCTTGCATGTAATATAGCACCTTATTACATCTTCGAGACGTCTCAAAGTGCTTCACAAAATATACTATAAAGTGAATTGACTGTATATTTTGTGGACAAAATGCAGCAGCCAATTGCGCACAGCAGCATCCCACAAACAGTCATGAATTTTATTTTTATTTTTGAAGGGCTTATTACCCCGGAGCAATGCCGATCCCACTGATGAGCTTAGTAAATTGTGTCTCACCCCCAGAATGAATCAAACCCACGGAGAACAGCAGTTACAACAGTTACCGCCAGGAATTCATCCTGATAAGAACTTCACGAGTGCTCAAACTTTAGCAACACTTAAAGGGAGCCAGACTGTAAGGGGCAGAGGATGCCAGCAGCAAACAGCACTAAAGTCAAGCATTAAAAGATCTGACAGCAAAATGAGTATTACACAACTTTCTGAAAGCAGGTAACTGTAAGGCTGGGCCAGTTCCCTCACCTTGGATGCAACGTCTGTGTCAGGCGGAGGGGAGCGTGACGGGATAGTCCAGGAGCCGGCCTGAGGTGAGCAGAGATCCACAGGGAACAGTTAGCTGGTTTTGCAATCACTTGAGCAGGTCAGAGACAAGTGGAAAGCAGGGAGGCAGAGCACCAGGCTTTGTAGGGTCAGTTGATGTAGATTAGCCTGTCACAAGACATTACTCACAGCAGATTTTAATTGAGTTTGCATAAAATAGCAAGTCCCCCATTAGTGAGCTGCAAGTAGGGGGAGGGGGTTATATGTTATGTCAGAGATTCCAAGGCTTATTATCAAACATTGCTGCCAACTCGGGGGCTGAGAGTTTGTAACCAACAATGGGAATGAGAGAGAAAGAGAGGTTGGACCCTGCCCGCCTGCCTGGCAGCCTGTGTGTACCCGGGGGAAACCAGTCATCGCTTCAGATGACCCTAACCACATTCCTCGTGTTACAGTGTTACAAACCACAGCAATATCTGACTGAATGCAAACAGAAAAGTAGGTGGGCTGTGAGCACTCTCTGATGGGAAGAATCCTTCGCAGATTGCCTTATTTTGGGGGCACTGAGCGCCAAGTGTTTGTATAAGCACTGAGGTAAAAGGTCAGGGAAGAGGGGCGATTCATTCTGTGCTTGAATAGGAGCTTGTGAGGAGACAGTGAGGAGTTCAGAATATGAGGAGACAAAGTATATTGTCAATTCACTTTACAGTATATTCTGTGAAGCAGTTAACAATGTGATGATGCTGTATCAGTGCAAGGATCATTATGATGTTTATTATTATTACAGCTCCAATCTCTGATTCAGATATGTTTCATGATGTATAAACCAAACCTTTACTCCGCTTCAGGATTTTGAGCTCAGAGTCCAGGCGTAGCCTCCAGGGTGGACAGTGCCAGGCCATGTGAACCAGACCAGATCAGTGTTCAAGGAGATGTTTCAGAATCTGCTACATTATTGGAAAAGGGAGGAGGTTTTCCCAGGATATGGTCCAGAGATCCTCCATATAAATCAGCCATTCACCTCACGCTTCATTTAGGACTCTGCTGGCCCAGTGGCCGCCGTGTTTCCTGACAAAAACTCACTGCACTGCTGAAAGCCTGCACACACACTCGCTCTCACCCTCAGTGCACTCAGCGAAGTTCTGGGAAATGGGGCCTCTTGAACTGAGCGTTCAGTCACATTGAGCTGCTGTCACTCTGTTACTCCATGGGGCTTCGGCCAGCGAGGAGAACAAGGAAGCCATTAAGAACCAGAGGGATCCATTTCTCCACTTGACGAGTCTTTAAATGCACCGCAAACAGATTGTGTCAGAATTGTCTTAATCTGTGCCTGGTTACACTGGCCTCTGGTAGAGCACAACCAGCCCACTGTACCCACTCCAGGCTGGGCTACCAACACAGAAGGTCATATCTGACCCAGGCTTGACAATCACATCAGCCCTGTGGCTGCCAACTCGCCACCTCGTGCAGGAAAACTAATATTGATTCTTTCATCAATAATATCCCCAATACCAACAGCCAAAGGCCACAGGGCAGGGTACCAAGGTTGAAGAGTAGGAGAGATGCGATACATCAGGAAGTGTGTTTCAGCAACAACAATGCCAGGAGGAGGAAGGAAAGAGTGAGGGAGGACGGAAGAGCGAGGTGAGGAGTCTGGTAGAGTGAGGGAAGAGTGCCCCAGTCTCTGAGAAAGAATGAGTTAGAGGAGGTGAGGTTTCAATGGGTTGTTTTTAATGCAGGGAGGAGGAACATGTAGGAAGACAGAAGAAGGCCATTGACCAGAGTTATTGTTAAACAAGGGCAAAAAGGGGGAGAGTCCAAGGGAGAGAGGAGGGGGGGATGAGAGTACAAGGAGTAGGCCACATTGATGGGGTGCGTTAATTATACTCAGTGCCTGTAATTGTGCCATCTGTTCACAAGCAAGTGCCCGGCCCAGCCCAGTCCAGTCCTGCTTAATAGACAGTGATTTAAGGGCATGTTGTTATGGACAGAATGTCTCCTCACACTGGGTGATGGCTGCCAAGAGTTTGGCCTGCCTGTGATTGGATTAGCAGTGATAAGCACCTTACTAAAGTAAAAGAAAATCTCAGATTCATGTTTTACATAATGAATTGAGTAGCAACTGGATATGAGGTGAAGTAGGTGAGAGGTAAGGAATAGCTTGGTAAGGAATTGCATAATATCTGCCAAAAGTGTACAACAGCCCCAGGCCAAGGTGTGTGAGATGGGCTGAATGGCCTGTTTCTCAGCTGTGATTCTGTGGGTCACAGTTGCTTGTTCAGGGGCTCAGGAAGTGAGTTTTTCTGCTGTAACTCCCACTACAATGCAAGGCTAATATGTTCACAGAACTTTGCAATTGAGTTGGTACACACAATGACTTACATTTATGCAGTGCTTTTCACATTGAGAGGACGTCTCAAAGTGATTCACAGACAGCAACATTCCTTCATACAGCGCTTTTCATGTTTAAAAAGAAACCTTTCAAAGCGTTTCACAGAACGAGATTAATTAGAAATGAAGTGAATATTGTTATGCAGGCGAACACGGCAGCAAAGCAGTGTTCAGCAACATCTCACACACCAGCCTTAGAATGCTCTTCCTCGGGGCACCACTGAACTGCCAGTTACTTCCCTCTGCCACACAAAAAGAGCTCTGTGCTACACCCAATAAGCTATTATCATACCGCAGGGAGCTCTCGTGCTCATTAGTGAGGGCAGCAAGCTATCTAACCATCTAAAGCAAAGCTTCAACTTCACTGCGTGAGGACAAAGCTTCACTGTAAGAACCATCCTTCACTGTTCCCTCCGATCCACAGCGTTTCCCAGGACGTGTGGGGCATGGCGCTCCGAGATGCTACCGCATGTGACGGGAACTATTTAAACAGGTTACTGTTAAAGTGTCTCATGAAAACAATTGCTTTTAAAGATTTTCTTAATCTATTAACACTCAGCATCTGAGATCACAGGTGAACATACACTCGAGTGAGGTGCTGGGGCCACTATTGCTGGCTCTCGAGTCCTTTTGCTCCCCCATCAGTTGTTACATTCTCAGCCACAGCACCCTCCCCCAACCTCTTTCCTGGCCAGAGAGAAGTCCCCTGTAACCCTTCACGGCCTTGCTCCTTCCTCCTCTGACCTGCTAACACCATATTGAACCGTTTGCTCAGCTCGCCCCATCATCAGCAATTGGGCCTTCAGCATCTCTGCACCCAACCTTTGGAATTCTGTTCCACAGTTCCTCCACCTGGCTCCCTCCCTTGTCTCCAAGGCATGTCTCAAGACCCTCTTCTTTGACTGCACTTACAACCCTCTTATCCCTGCCCACCATCCTTCCTGATCCCAACCCTCTGCTTGGGTCCAAATCCCTGACTATCCAGTGCCTTGGGACGTCCTGACGTGAAAGGCACTATACAAATGTAATTTGTTGTAGCACAGGAAGGGTTAAAGGAATAAAAGAGTGACGGAGTGAGGAACCGGCCAAGCTGAGTTTGATAACAGCATTGAGGCTGAGGGTAAAGCTGAGGGCTTATCCCTCCGGCCACATCTGTCAGTGTGTTACCGGTGCATACAGTATTTGTGTTGGTCGAAGTTCAGGTTCTGCCTCTCAGCTTAGTTGCTGGACAATGGCAACCCATTCACTGGGTGGATTTACGGCTGTGAGTAGCTTTCTGTGGACACAGGCACCCTTTTCTCCACTTATTGCTCAGCCACAATTTAACTATTGTCCAAAGTAAAAACATTTCAGAACGTTACCCTTATTTTATTAGCAAGAAAACCTTTCCCAAACTTCAGTGTGTTCAGCGCTGGGCTCTGGTTACCTCCTGCAGGAGGGAAGGGCAGACAATACATGGCAGTGTGGAAACTGATTAGGTGCTGACATTTTGACTGGGGAGAGGATTCCTGGCACAGATGGTAAAAGCTGAGCCAACAGACTACAAAAAGTGGAGCCTTTTCTTGACAATCAGTGTTTCGGACCCAAACTGGGGGTTGGGATTCAGGAGGATGGAGGGCAGGGGGAAAGCAGGGAGATCAAAATCATGGTCGAAGAGTAGGTTCTTGAAATGGGTCTTGAAGGAGGCAAGGGAGGGAACATGGCGGAGGGACTGTGGGATGGAGTTCCACAGGATGGGGGCAGAGTGGAAGAAGGCCTGCCCGCCAATGGTGGGGCGGGCGAGGTGGGGGACGTGAAGCATGCCGGAGCTCGCTGAGCAGAGGAAGCGAGCAGGATGGTAGGGGATTAGGAGGTCGCAGACATAGGAGGGAGCAAGGCCATGGAGGGTTTTGAAGGTGAGGACCAGGATCTTGAACTGTATCCGCTGTGTGATGGGAAACCAGTGGAGTCAGTTGAGGATGGGGGTGATAGGGTCCCCAAGTAAATTACACGCTCACATCCTGCAGGAACTGTCTGTCCGCCCACAGTGCTTAGAGCCCCTTAGCACTTTCTGTAGCTTAACTCCAAGTCCGCTGAACCTCACCTGGACACCCAAGTTTCACAGCAGGTCGAAAGTAGGCAGCGATCACCGGCCAAAGGGTAATCTCCCCCATCCCACCCACCCAGCCCCCACCAGCCAGCCCCTGCGAATTGTGATGTTGCAGAACTCGCGCTGCTAACCTGCTTGCCGTGTTATTGCTGTGAGAATCCACTCTCTGCTGCACTGAGGGGCTTGTGCTCTACACGGCACTCACTGATTTCACACACAATCCAGGCTTTGACTTTGTTCGGGAGGAAATTCAAGCAAGCTGTAAAAACGACCATTCCTGGAAGCGTAATGCCAGCCAGCCGCTGAAGCGAACACAAAGCTGGGTTATTCCAGCATCCACGGGAAGGAAGGTGAACTAAAGCAGGCACTACAAGGGCTGATTCACTCCCTCCACTGCCCAAGCGCTCCTTATTTTAGGATTTATTTATAAAATGAGAGGTAGCCTTGTGGCTGGAGACGGTGAAAACTCAGCTGTCAGCCTGCATTACCATGGTACTTGTGCGGGTTTAGGCTTCAGTCAGGACCAATATGATAGCAGACTGCCCACACCTCTTTATATCTAATCTATTTGCATTGGAGAAATGTTTGACAAAATATATAATGGGAATATGGGTGGAGAGGGGATGGCGCTAAGTGGAGAGGTAGTTCAGGGAGCAGGAATGGGATTTATGTGCTGGTGTCGGGGACAGAAACTGTCATTAACAATCCTTGCATCATCCCTTGTGATATGGCACCTTATTACGTTGTCAAGATATCTCAAAGAGTGTGTGTGTAGGGGGGTGGGGCGGGGTGGCGGGGGGGAGAGTTGAAGAGTAAACTCTTCAGGTGTGATTTGAAGATGGGGAGGGAGGGGGCGAGACAGGGATTGAGGCAGAGTTCCAGAGATTAGGGGTGTGGTAGCTGTGAAGTGAATGCCTAATTTTATTTGGGGGAATTGTTGACCAGATCACCAGACAAAACTCTTCTCTTTTCCAATAGTGTCAATGAGATCTTTAACATCCACCTGAACAGGCAGACGGGACCTGGGTTTAATTTTTCATCTGAAGAATTGCACTTCTGACAATGCAGCGCTCCCGTGCATTAGGATGTCAGCGAATGCCACTCAGCAAGTGACTGGCAGTCTGTCCATTTCTGAAGCAAAGACCTAGCAGGAGGATCTCTCCTCACTAATCACCGGTGACAGTGTGCAGACAGTCAGTCCGCCCCCCCACCCCCATCTTACTCTATCTTATCGCCTCGGATGCCAGCATTCCTATAAATGTCCATTAATACAGAGGACGCGGAGGTGTTGAGTGACAGGCTGGACTGTGACATTCATTTACCGAGTAGTCTTCCCCCTTTAGCTACAAACTCAGCACACAGCATTGTTTGCACACTAGAGTGGGGATACTGGCCGATTTCCCCTCCCAAATCCAGGGCACCTCAGCCCACCCAGCTGGCAAATATCCAGGTGCTGCAGTAGAGGTTGATCAGCAGAGGACTGGGAGACAGGTTTAGTCTGTTGAGTGTAGCAGTCTTTGCGATTGATTTTGAAATCAAACATTTACAGCAAAGCCTCAACAAACAAGTTCAGCACTTTACTTGGTCAGACTATTTAGAAAATAGTTTGCACTTAGTGCTCCAGACTCCCTCATTGTCCTCATCCTATTCAATTTACTACCTTGAACTCTTAAAATTATTAATTCAAAGCTAAGATGCATGTGACATAAGCAATTGTTTGAACAGTTGCAGATTGGCTTCTGATATATTTATGAATGGAAAGTTTAAAAAGGCCGAAGCCGAGTGCACTGGCAGCAATAGGTAAGTGGTGCCATCTGCTGGCAAGAGTGGGAATGACATCAAATGAAGTCCGAAGCATGAAGCTGGCATCGGAGAAGCGACGCGTTAGAGGTGTGCACATTGGAACAAGGATTCATGCAACATATACTCTGCTTCCTTATTCAGAAGGGTGCAAAGCTAACATGTTGAAATACTTTACAGTAAATGCGTGCATGAATCTTTTGATGTTGTCTTCTAAGATTACTGCAGTCCTTGTAATAATTAAGAGATGGGGAAAAAAATTCCGCGGAGGATTGTAAACTGGGAGATAAATACTTGGGAAAGTAAGGATGTTAATGGGGAAAGGGGCAGAGGGTAAAAAGAAACAGCACCATTATTGTCAACTGTGGCTGTTGGCAATGACAGGGTCACATTTGAAGTCGGTTATTTTTAGAAATTTATGGTGGAGGGGAAATGGGGTGCGTGAGGATACATAATGTGCTACACAACACAATTAGGTTCTTCTGTTTATTATTGTACTAAATAATGGTAAAATCCCAACAATTTTCATTTTAAGAACATTAAATAGCATTTACACCTATTCTGTCTCCCTACAAACACATTTTTATTAAATCTGTTTATACACAATTTGCTGTACAACACGAAGTAAAGGCAAATCATTACACAGGTCTGTTCTAAGTAGTAGAACTTCATTACACCAGGCTGCATTGTTTGCCACACACACTGGGAAGAGTCTAAAAACAGATAAAAGCAGTCAGGGTACAGCTTCCTGTGATGCACTTTACACACTAGAAATCTGAAAAACCAGAATCAATGAAAAGGTCAACACTGCCTGTGCTCCAAAAGTACATAACCTAATGGGTTAGTTAAGCACTCGAGTTCTAAATCCCCAGTTTCTGAAGCTATGTTGTGTGGATAGCTATGTGTCTGTGATTGTGCTATCTCAGACTCGACAGCCACTTCCAAATCCCACAGCTTTTCCTAATTGAAATAAATAAAGTCCAAAATTTTAAGCAAAACACGAAACTAGTGATAAATGGCAACAGTGAACCAGAGACCCTCGTTCAGAACCTTAGACTTTAAAAAAAAAATTTAAATATTGTGGATAACATTGGTTCAGGAAACTATTTTCTTACCCCCCAATAAGGTCATTCCTAACATCTAAAACTAGTTACCTGTCTACTTGTAATATACAAAAGGATCACAATGAAGATTTAAGATGGAGGGAGAGGTAAGTGGAAAAAAGGGTCAGCAATGAAAGCACATCCACAATAAACAAACTTTAAATAGTAACAGAACTTGATCCTTAATGCATGTAAACATCATTCAGTGCAGTGCAACATTTGCATTTGGCTCCATTAGTTCGAAATGTCATTGTCCAGGGTTATTTTGTGAGATGAGGCACGCTGTTTCGCAGCATTGAGATCCCTGGAATCAAGCATCATGCGGTTTGACGTGGCCACTTCTATTGAATGCAAACATCACAAAAGCACCTGACTTAACAAACCCACCCTTTCGGTTGCCTCCCCTCGAATCCTCCCATTAAACCAGCGTCTTTATGTCCCCCACTATTAAACCCAATGTGTCTGTGATTGTGGCTGTGCACTTGGATCAGGGTCAGTGGAGCAGTTTCTTACGAGAGTAGGTTTTGGTGATACAACGACGTGCAGAGATTTCAGTGAAAGGGGAAGCACAGTCCGTCAGAGCTGGTCTCCTCCCTGGACAGTTCTCAGGATCAGACTCTTCACCTGTGCCATCTGCAAAAGATTCCCAGATAAAATCTCTCTTTCAAGAAACACACCATCAGACAGTTACCCAGCACAGCTAACCCAGTGCGTAACAGCTGGCCGGAGTGCAACAGATGTGCAGCTCAGCGTAAAATAATTGGTACCTCAATTTTTGATCCTTGCCTCTACACGTTAGTCAGCAACGCAAAGAATAAAGAACGATAAAAAGGCTACAAGTTACCTGGTGCACAGGACCTTTTCTTGGCTGAAGATGTTCTTCCTTGATACAGCATTGGAGACTGAGTCAGTGCCAGCAGGCTGGAGACAGACAGCCCCGTTCTCACTTTGCCGGCAGGTGGTGTTACAGCTGAGAAACAATGCAATAGGATTTCAGCAGGTCCACACCCTCCACCCCACTGCTGTTAGTGTTTCCCCACCTCACTAATAACTGATGCAATAGCAAGCCTCATACTTCAATTACTGCCCTGTCAGCAGGCTGAGAGCAAGCGGCCAGAATATAATAATAATCCTTGCATTTGATATAGCGCCTCATCACACTTTTGAGATGTCTCAAAGCACTTCAATGATGCACCACGCAAATGTAATTTTGTTGTTGTTTTACTATATTGTGCGGCCAAAACTCGGCAGCCAGCTGTGCACAGCAATGTCCCACAAACAACCATGGAGTGAATGACTAATTTTATTTGGGGGAATTGTTGGCCAGGACACTGGGAGAAACTCAGTGAAGAGCCCTTCTCTTTCCGAATAGCACCATGAGATCTTTAACTTGCACCTGAACAAGTAGACGGGACTTGGTCTCATCTGAAGGATGGCACCTCCAACATTGCACTCCCCCACCCACCCACCCACCCACCCAGTACTGTATTGCAGTGTCATCTTAGACTATACAAATCCCGACGTGGGGCTTGAACCCACAGGTTTCTGACTCATAGACGAGAGTGCTACTACTACGCCATGCCAGCATACAAATATATTTTGCTCAGTTACTGGTTTACTGTCTCAATCACATTTAGCATCTTACACACCTTTAATGCCCCCCTCATGAGTCACCTCTTTTCAAGCTTGACAGCCATTCTCCATCAGAGCCAATAGCCACACTGGCAGATCTCACGCTCTACCTTATTGTTAAGGGACATGTACCAGATCTACACTAAGATCCTCCAACAAATTAAGTAAAACACAAGAATAACCTGGACTATGGAAGAAATCCTCCTCTTCACCTGAACCCTGCCTCAGGAACGGCTTGGGGAAGGGAGCGTTGGCACCGTGCTCCTTGGCTTTTCCCTGTAACACACTCCCCACGTCCATAGAGGAGACGGCAGTGAGGTCTACCCGCTGTGTTTTGGCTGGCCTGTCCAGCTCTCCTCCAGGAGATGATCGCCCACGCTTTCTAGACCGAAGGCCAAAGCTCTGTGAAGAACCTTCCTGAGACCTCCACTCTCGTTCTGCACCTGGAGACTGGTCTGGTAACCTGCTCACTCCTTCCATGCCAATCTCCTCCAAAGGCATTGTCTTGTTGCTGTAATGCTCTGAATGGCTCTCGACGTCATTCTCAGAAGCAATGTACTCTCCTTTATCCCCACTCCATGGCGTGTGGGCAGCTTTCTTCTTTCGCGGCCAATTCTTGATGGCATCTGGTGTCTGGGAAGGTTTGGATTTCTGCGTGGGTGAAGGTGTCCACGGGACAGTGCCAGGCTCAGCTTGTGAAGGGGAGGATGTGGTGGATGAGCATCGGGTGGGAGTGTAGGACTGGCAGATAAAGGTTTGCACGCCACCTTTTCCTGGCGTGGCCTTTGCTGGAGTGCTGTGTGAAGAGTGCAAACAGATTGACGGTGATATATGGCCAGCATGCTTGGCACACCCTGGAGTGCCATCAGCTGGGGGGCTCTGACAGCCACTCTTCCTCACACAGAACCCAGTCTCACTGTCTTTGGGGACGGAGCTCTCCTCCTGTGGGACACACACACTATTGGTCCTCTTGAAGCGGAGTTTAGGAAGCCCCGAGTCCTGCATCTCCAGCTCAACCTTATACGTAGGGATCGGCAGCAAATGTTGTGCCATGGGGGTTTGAGAAGGATGGATTTTCCTGGGGACTTCGGATGTGCGTTGCATTGCTGCGGCCAGTCTCTGCCTCCTGTCTGGAGTCCAGCGGAACTCGTAGGGTGTTGGTGAGGTATGTGTGTGCGGATGTGCAGACGGCACAGAATCGGAAGTGTCTGTGTTGAGCAGTTCAGTAAATCTGATTTGCAAGTCAGCGCATTCATCCAGCGCCAGTTGTGCATCTAAGATGTCGCTGCTCTCTTCAGCCTGAGAGCTGGCAGCCCCAGAGTCTGTTGTGCTGGCCAGGGACGAGGAATCCAACCTCTCAGATACCAAACTGACATCAGACATCAGGTCACCCACTGCCGTCTGAGAAAGTAACCCAGAGTAGGAAGTGTCCAGGACTGAAGCGGCATGAAAGCAACTCTTACCCAGATGCTTTGAGCGACCACTCATCTCCTTTGGCCAACGTTTACAAGCTGTTGGCTTGGTTTCACCACAATGAAGACTTTCTGCAGCCGTTTCTCCCGGTACAACGTTCCCAAAACACGAGTCTTTCACAATTCCACTGGCTCCCTCGGCTTTCACTTCACTTGTGGCAGAGGGCTCTTGAGAGCTCTGTACATTACACTTCCCACATCTCCTGTGTAACGAGGTCACTAAGCTTTGCTCTGACCTGGAAGATGTATAGGCTGCAGGTGTCACTGGCGCTTGCACAGATACGACAAGCTTCTCACTTCCCGACATTCTAACTTTTGGCCTCAACGGAGCCCGAGCTGTTGGCCTGGCTCTGTCCCAAGTCCTCACATCAGCCTCAGAAGATGAAGCCACCTCACACCAAGACCTGGTCCTGACTGGCGCTTTCAGCTGCGGAGGGGTTGTTATGCATCGCGGTGGCCTAGGGGCATCTTTTGAAGGTGTAACAGTAAATATAGAGAGTGTCCTCACTGAGCTCTGAGATGGAGTTGTATTAAATTTAGATGGTGTCTTTATAGCAGCCTCTGACGGGGTAATGCGAGATGAAGATCTAGTTTGGGGTGGGTTGACCTGCTTTGGAGATTCTGCATTAGCTTTACACGAGGTTTTCATGAGCATGGATCTTGTTCTGACCTGGAGTTTCCTAAGTGATGGAGGACTGATGTTCCAGAGGCTCTTCACGTGAACACCATGCGATATTTGAAGCATCTCCTTCCGTTCTGGTGAAACTCCAAGCTCCTCGGGGCTGCTCTGCAATGTTCTGGGAGTACAGGGTCTTTTTTGTGGAGATGTGAAACTGTTAGCTGGCATGTGAGGTGTTGAAGACACTTGCAATTTGGATTTCCATTGGCCCGCTTTAACTGATGTAGAAAGCATTGCTGGACTGATACTCAATGAACTGTCCATTGAGACAGAGCTGGGTATCTCTTTTGATTTGGGCGCTGGACTACTGAGCACAAATCTGCCTTTCCTCTGTGTTTTTACAGGGGAAGCAAAATTCAGTGTCTCTGAAGACACAGCAGAGATATCTACAGCAGAGCTGTCTCTGCACGGAGAGGCAAGGCGCAGGCTGCGCCTGGGCAGGAAATGGACCTTGTGAGGAGATGCCAGACTGACGTGCTCGTTTCCCCCAGCGCTAGACGGGGAGCAGATCCCAAGTTGCAATACTGAATTCTTTCGGTTAGGAGCTGCCGCTGTATTTATGTGCTCTCTTCGTTGAGGAGCCTGAAATTGGCAATCACTTCCCGTTTCCCAAGATGAGGTCCGTTTATCTAGTCGTCGGACTGGAACCTTTCCTACCATTGGGCTCTTTGAGGCTTTCACACTCTTGCCTGGAGTTAAAGGTGAATTGTGAAGGGCGCGAGGGGATTTTTGAGGAGTTTTGCTCCTTGGTGGAGATCTCAGCTGTTTCAGTGTTTTCGCAGGCTGAAAGTATGAAAGAGAGGTTAGTAAAATGGAGTTCCAATGTCTGGCTACTCCTCATCCCAGTCAGACATGTTGGACACAATGACCAAATCACTGTAGATGCCAGAGAAACAGTAGCATTTTAGCATTAAATCCCTTTCACGCTTTGTATTCACGCAAAGGAAAATCCTCTTTAAATTGTAGAGTAAGATTCATATGAAATAACCCTAGAACAGCGTACAGAGTGACTAGCACTACTTTTTGTTTGAGCAACACATCAACATGTTTTCTTCTTCTTAAAACATTCCTCATATTAACTTTACAATCAAACATGAATGGATGTACCATCGCACCTGACATGAATCGGAGCCTGAGCAGCTTCTCCACAGCCTCTGCCTCCCCGGTGGAGGCACAAGGTCAGAGTCAAAGAGCGGGCGTGGGGAGCGGAGTGTTCGGCCACCTGCAAAGAGAAATTTATTGAGTGAGTACAAGTCTCACAACAATCACAGTGTGTGCTGGCTCTGCATGCAGGATGATACTTCACCAGCCTCTGGCCTGTAATGCACCGGAAACAGAGGTATACCTGTGCAGCTTCAGGCTACTAACACATGGCTAGACACTGTATATAATAACATGCCCACTCAAATCCACAGACACATTTTTTTATATCAATTATTTCAACAAAAACAATCCAAAATTGATTTCCTCAATGCCTGGCCTCCTTCTGTGCTATCATTTTATATGATCCTATAAATATGCAAGCAGGAATGAGCAGCGTTTATCAAACTCCTTTACCCGGCTCCTCGGCACCCTGTGTGCGCGATTCTGCTCCCGAGTGAGGAGTCGGCTGTGACCCGCCATAGAAGGAAATGGAATGTCTCTTTGTGAGAGACGCCTTTTGGAAGCGTGGGCTCCTCCGCAGGATGGGTTCTATGGAAAAAAAACAATCAGTAAATTCAGCACAGTGGTAAAGAAGGTGTTTGGTTGACATCTGCAGTAACTCGATGAATCCTACTTTGTACTTCAGTTGCCAGGTGGCATCAGAAAAAACTTCAGCCTCAAAGTATATGTGGGGAAAACACATTTAAAAATCTTAGTCCCCAGAAATGTTAAAGGAAAATACATTGGCAGATGAAACTGAAACAAGCAACAACAGTACAGAAGCCATCAGCAGACTCACCAGTAGACAGAGATTTTTCCGGTGATTCCTCCACTACACTGATATCAGAGCCCGACTCAGAACACCTGCAGAGGAACAGTTGCTTGAGGTTACTCTCACACAGGATATCCATCTCTTCCTGGATTAATGTCACGGCTATAGGTTGAGTAATTTGGTTTCAGTGTTAAACGTGGTTGCTCACCTCCCTCGTATCTGCCTGTGCAGGAGCCGATGCGACACTTGTTTGTGGAGAGGTGTTTCACACACCTTCTTTGTCAGTAACTTACGATGAACTAAGAAACAAAACATAACAATAATTATTGGAGAGTATAAATAATTATTTATACCCTCTTCCCTCTCTGGACTTGAGCTCAATAACACAACAGCAAAGTTACATTTGTATAGCGCTTTTCACATCGGGAGGACACATCTCAAGATGCTGGACAGTATACAGCATTTCAGACCCGAGCTGGGATCAGGGGGGAGAAGGGAGGGGAGGGGAAGGGGGTCACCGATGGCATGGTCGAAGAGGAGGGTTTTGAGGTGGGACTTGAAGGAGGGTTTTGAGGTGGGACTTGAAGGAGGCTAAGGAGGGGGCGAAGCGGAGTGATTGGGGGATGGAGTTCTAGAGGTTGGGGGCAGAGTGGCTGAAGGCTCTCCCGCCAATGGTGGGAATCAACTGTAAAACCTGACAGTATAGCGGGTTTAAGCAGAGTACATTGAGAGCTCCCGGCTTTAGAACCAACACTTGGGAGCAGTCAACCCTCTAGCTTAAAAGACCAAGTGGTTCCTTAACCAATCCTAGGCCAATGTCTTCAGAAATGGGATGAATTTCCCTCATGAGATAATTATCTTTTCATTTGATGACAGCATCTATAATTCAATAACAACTTTCAAGAGAAAAGTAGATATATATTTGGGGAGGATAAATCTGCAGAGTATTGTGGAGAGTGCGGGGGAATGAGATTAATTTGGACAGCTCTTTCAAAAAGCCGGCATTGACACGATAGACCGAACGGCCTCCTTACGTGCTGTATAATTCTATGATTCTCTATGATTCTATAATGTTGAAGTAGCGACTGCTGTTGTATTCATATACACCTTCTGTCCAGCTGTCAGTGGATATATATTCAGCAGCTTCAGCCTGCCTTGGTTAACAGCCCTAGCTCCTACATTAAGAAAGGTTACCGTTACTAGCTTTCTCCTTCCTGTGCTGATGATTCCTTCCCTCCACCGCTGACACAGATTGTGTTCTCCGCATCTTGGATTTTTTCCGTGGGGACAGCATTTCCTGATTAAACAGATTTCTTCTGACTTTCGTTACCTCTGAAGAGTAAAGCAGTCATTAATTAATAATAATAATCCTTTCATTTTATCCAGTGCCTTATCACGTAGTTGAGACGTCTCAAAGCGCATCACAGGATATACTGTAACGTGGAGGGACTGTGTATTTTGTGGGCAAAATAATAGCTAGTCATTGCACAGAATGTTTCAAGACAAACAGACCCTCCCCCGGTCGGCCAGTCCACTATTAATGGTTTTACACAGACACTGTTAGCAAAAACAGGTGATTCTCACAACATTGTTTCTGAACAAAAATGCAGCAAAATAGCTCAATTAAACCAGTCCACTTATCTGCTAAGAGTATGATCCAGAGCTGGACCTAGAACCCGTCACGTGGTGACAATGCTAGGTCTAAATTGACATCCAAACCACTCTGACACTTTACATGTCAACACAGATTAAACACCAAAGCAGCAGGCCTCACCTTGAGTTTCGTTCGGAACTGGAGGGGGCGGCAGTGGCTGCTCAACCACAAAAGTGCGAGACTGCAAACTCTCCTGTTAACAATAACACATCATTCCCAATTACACAACAAAAATAGTCAGTTCAAAAAAAGGCCCGTAAAAATACTGAATATGGTTATTAATAGATTTTACATCCAGTGGGGTGGTTTGAAACATTCTATTTGAGGTCAAGAAAATAAGTCGATAAAACATCTTTGAGATGTCTCAAAGCACTTCACAAAATATACTGTAAGGTGAACTGACTGTGTATTTGTGACCGAAAAGTGACAGCCAATTACTCACAGCAGCGTCCACAAACAATCGTGGATTGAGTGCCCAATTTATTATACGACTCCCGACGTGAAAGGCGCTATACAAATGCAATCTTGTTGTTGTTATTTAATTATGTTTTTTTCGAAGGGATTATTACCCCCGGAAAAGCGATCCCCTAATCGACTAATAACTGGGTTCTGACTTACTGTCAGGTAAACAGAGGTGTGTGGAGTGAGGAAATTTGCCTAAGGTTTCAGCGCACGCGGGAGTTGAACCTAGGTCCTTTCGCTTGCAAGGCAAGTGTTCCAACCAATACGCTACAAGTATCCTGGTATCCTTCAGCAGTTTGGAAAATTTAAAGACACACATTCGCCCCCAACTTACCAGTCTCAGAGGTTTCTTCGGCATCTGAATTTGCCGCAAATTATGCGAGACCTCTGATATGCTCCGATGCCTGGTGAGAGGGATGCTCCTGAAATAAAACAACATTGGTTTGCAAACCCCAAAACAGAGAGGATATTTACATTTTTGACCCAAAAGTGTTAACTGTAATGCACTGAAGCCCCTGGGACCAATGCCAACAACACACTCTGGGCAGACAAACACACTGTCCTGACAGGCTCGATTTCAGTATTTCTATTTCTGAAAGAAAATAATATTGGAGGAGGAAGGGCTGGTCGAAACATAACAATTTCAAACGCCTTCAAAATAAAGTGATATCTTTGTTAAGGAATCTCAATGGGGATTCCTACCAGGAGCTGGATGCAGATTCACAGGAATTCTGCTTCGAAATGTAGGTTACGTCAGAGGGAGTTCCTGGAGGTGCTTCCAGATCCTTCATCACAGATTCCCACTTGAAATCAAGACATTTTATATGCCAATCCCCACATGCGTCTCTAGCTCATACTTTTGTTTAGCAAACAAAGGCACGAGTGCATAAAGAAGCCTTAGATCATTGCTGTTTCCTCTGGGAGTGAGACGTAGCAACATGAACTCACCTTCTTTTGCGGGAAGACCGGGTCCGCAGCTCGTCCAGCTGTGTGTCTGGGGCGTCTGTACAGGCCGTGTCCAGAGGGAGGGAGGACATCAGCAAGTTACTGGGGGACTCCGATTCCTGGGACATGGACTCGTCACTGAAGAAATCTGCGGGAAGCACGGAGGCTAAGCACGCGGGGACCGACTGCCCCATCCCATAATACAGCTCTCCCAATATCTGCGGCAGAACAAGCAAATACCTGAAACACAGAACGCAGCTGTCAAATGTTTAATCTAATTAAATCGTAAAAACCACATTTGCAGCAGAAACGCAGAAGTCCACACACTGCTTAAACACACTGCCAGACACCAGAACGCGGGAAATAGAAATCAATTAAATATTCACTGATATGAACTGCTAAATCCTGCTTGTGGTGCCACTGTTTGAAGTCCCTCCACACGCACTCACGCACTCTCTCCATCACTGGACAATCGTTCGAGGAGCTCTACTCAACTCCCACAGCTGCTCACTTACGTGCTTAAGATATCTTCCTCCAAAAACTTTGCGAGGAATGTGGTGTCTTTGGTCAGAGAGATGATCCGCAGCAGATTGGTCATCTGTAGTCAGAGAGCAAGTCAGAGCAGAATGGCAGATGCCAGATGCCTTGCACACATTGAACTTTGTTTTTTTTAAAAAACACAGAAAGTAATTCATTGTGATAACAGTAAAGGGCATTGGAGATGAAGTTACACATGTGGAGGATTGCTTGGACCAGCCTGCAGATTGTGTACAATAACTTGTTTATAAGCTACTGCAAAGCCAGATGCTCCCATAATAAAAACAACCTTTTACTGAATATTTCTCCCAAGTCAAAAGGGAAATGCTGAGCAAAATATGGGTTTTCCTCACACTTACATACTATGCAGTGAATGCTCAGGTCACATCCCACTTGCCCAAAGATCAGGATCTTTAATTCAAGCAACCCAGGTTTGTCCATTAACTTAGGATTGACAGCGGACTATGGTCAGAGAGCGTTAACTTCAACATGGCAGCTTTCATTGATGTACGACTATCGTCGAGCTTTGTTGCCCATGTCCTGCGCTGGACTCACCTCTTCCACCAGATCCCCAGCTGAGCTCTGCAGTGACGGGCATTGCTGGCACATCTCTAACCGCAGCAACACTTGGAGTTGACAGCTATAATAAGAGTAATGAGGTCTAACATGAACTTCAGTACTGAGTTAAGTCCAGTTTTACTAACTAAATAGTTTAATTTCTGGCTTGTTCAAAAACAAACCTAAAATATACAGCAATGTATTCTTTTTATTAAACGGTTATTTAAAACAAAGAGGTTACCACAAACCAGACAAGACAGTCAGCACATCACACAACGGCAGCAAATACAAATATTGGTATTGACACAAGGAAACAAAAGCTGAATAAAGATTCGAGTGGTTATGCTACAGAAAGGGATAATGGTACACCAACCATCTCTGCAATTTTTGTAGTTTGTCTCAGTCAGTGTAGTAATAAAGATAGATAAACAGTAAGAGCTAAGTACAGAGGCGCCGCAGTCCCCTACTCACTCTCTGACTTTTGTGTCCTTATTTTCCTGGTTCCCATACTGCTGCCGGATGGATTTACTCGTCTTCAGCAAATGTGTCTGAATCAGATTTATACACTTGGCCTTTAATACACAAGGTTTGCAATGCATCAGAACAGTTATAAAGTTAGCTCCACATTGTGCATGTTAAAAAAGACAGGATAATTACACCATTTCAGTGTAACCACAGAATATTAGATGTAGAATTAAATTGCTGGAGGATTAGCAGATCAGCAGGACAGTAATGTCGCACCTCAAACTGTTCAGCACTGCCAGACTGGAGGTACGTATGAACGATAGTGACTGTGTTCTGAACAAAGCTTAACTGTGACAGCTCTTCCTCCACTACATGTTTCTGGTAATTTTCTTCCAAACTGGACATCAACTCCTCATCATTTTTAAAATCTGCAGAACAAACGTGTCAGAGTTATTATTTACAATGGTTGCAAATAGACAAAAGCCCGAGATTAATGGTAACACTCCATTGTAAATGTCAAAATACCACTCGCTCACTCCTTCAACCTAAGCTTTGGTGAGCAGTCTATGTGTAGACTTGCCTATTGTTCTCTTCTTTACTCTCCTCTTTATTTCCCGCTTATCCTCCAGACGCCTCTTGGCCTGGTGCCTGGCTGGCTCGGTGACAGGAAGCGGGGTCGCCTCCGGCTGGCACTTCTGTGCCTTTACGTTCAGTCTGGCCACGTTTAACATCTGCAGCGAGCGGCTCATAGACTTCATCTTCTGCCTGAGAGGTGTGCGAGGGATGCCAGCTGTGGCAAAGGAATGCAGGTTGTTAAATCAAGTCAAATGTAGAGGATAAAAGCTGAGATTGAAAAGAGAAAAAGATACCGTAATACTGATCTAACAAGTTCTGCTCCACTTACTTTTTTTCCTTCCGTACTCAGTTGCCGCTCCCGCCTCTTCAGCCGCTTGTCTTTGGTACATTTCCGCTAAGTGAGAGGTGAGAGCCAGCTCCTGCTCTGTGTTCTCTGCCTCGTCTGTGGTCAGCGTTGATCTAGACCCAAACACAACAAGCAATTCTGAAGCTCTTTCTGACGGCTTTGAAATGCAGATCTAATGCACTTGGATAAGATAAGGCAGCAACACATCATTACTCTTATAGCTTACCTGAATGACTCGATGAAAACAGAGCTTGCTCCTGACAGCTCAGACAGTGGGAACCAGGATTCCGCAAAGCAAGCGCCGTGCCGGGGGCCCTGAGCCAGCTCCTGCCGCACCCAGTGTGGGACAGCAACACCTTCACAAGCAGATAGCACTGTTGGGTTCAGCAGAAATCGGCCATTATTATTGAAAAACTACAACATCTAGAAAATCATGGCAGATACAGACAAAAGTGCCAAAAGATGCAGATGACAGATCTCACTGCATTAATCTGCAACAGTTTGCAACCCCATAAATATGTTAAATATGTTGGTGACACACAATCAATGTTTGGTTCACTGACAATCCCCCAAAGGCAGCATTTCTCCATCAAATACCACAAGTGAATGTGCTGAAAGCTAACTGTCAGTATCAGAAACATTTCACGCCACTATTTATCAACACATCAGGGCTTCAAGCACAAAAGACATTGGAATGATGCAGCAATGACTTGTGATAAATGACGGCAATTAACAGAGCGTCGCAGCAAGCAGCTCATTCAACGTCAGTCTACTTACCTGGCGGCTGTTGGATCACAATAAGACATCAAAGGAGAGCATGAAATTTATAATAAAGAACAATGAACACAACTTCAGAAGGTGCTAAATACAACCAGAGTTGGATGTGGTGTAAGGCACTGTGGACAAAGTACACTCCCAGGCTTAGGGACCATTGAAACTGCCTTAAAGACACAGCACATACACAATAACCTGCAACAGAAAATGCTCATCCAGGACTTAACTAAACTTAATTCTTCAGAATTATAAAACGTGTAGCGGCACAAACATTCCAGAAAGTTAAGGCTTTCATTAAAGCAGCGCAGCCCCGGAGCTGCGGTATTATTTTCTGCCTTTGTACATTGAAGCAGAGAGTACAGAGTACAGGTGGTCTGTCCATTAAACATCCTCGTAGGATGAGATTCTGTACTCACATCACTCATCACAAGTTTAACCAGAGAACCTGAATCCACAAGAAGGGAATGGACAAAGCCTCAAATACACAAATTCCCAAACTCTTACTGCAACAACCTTCACAGCTATACTCAGCACCGGTAAGTTCACAGACTGCATTGCTGTGATAACACGACAATCAGAACACCCTTTTGCTGAGTTAATCTAAAGCATCTTAACTTTTTCTTCCTAACCAGGTGTGAATGAGGTTACTTCAGATCAAGCACTCTTGTATAAACATTATCCCAGATCAGAATTCTCATTCAGGTGTGAAGGTCAGTGTCGAAAATCAAACCACACCATTTGTACAAATTATCAAAATGCCCCATTAGCCTAAGAATGAACCGTGCTCTAAGCCAAGAAAGAAACACTGGTAATAAAATGGCAGGAAAGAGAATAACTAATTAACGGCTTGAACTGAAGGGTTTCCCTCACCTTCACTGGACTCATAAGTGTCCTCGAGCACCTCTGAAAGAAAGTTTATCGCTCTCTCCACAGCCCCTAAGAGCTCAGAGGTCACACCTTGCACACTCTCAGTAACCTTTGTCTGGGAAAAGCACTCCTCAAACTCCACCGCTAGCTGGGAGCAGATCAGTGTGAGCAACGTTGCACCTCCAAGCAGGGGAGACAGAATCCCAGTGCCCAGAGGCAGACCATCACCCAGTGCCACATCAGTAACCTGAAAACACATTGAGACAAAAGTGAATATGGTCCCATCATGGCATCGTGACTTTCTTATCACGTCTCCATCAGAGCATGGATTAAAACAAAACAATAATAATCCTTGCATTTGATATAGCGCTTTTCACGTCTTCCAAGCATCTCAAAGCGCTTCACAGAATATACTGTAAAGTGAATTGACTGTATATATTTGTGGTGGACAATGCCAACAGGATCAAGATTATGTGAATAATAGATTCTCTCTCCCACTCCCCACCAGCAGCTATGATATACTAGGTATTTCACATACACTGGAGAACTACCATCTCTCTCTGCCACGTACCACGCTGCATGGTTTAATAGGTGTCAACTGCATTTACAAACACCAGTCCAGACGGTAATTAATCATAATGAGTAAAGCATAACTAAATTGTGCTGTAAAAGCACCACAATAGGTCAATCCAACAAATACCTAAAATGATAAATATTTACGTACCAAATAGATCCTATTATGTGTTATTTTCTGTAAAAGCTGTTGAAGTAAGCTGCTCTCAGCAGTTTGCCTTGACTCAGGCCACTGTAAGATCCAGGAGTGTGTAGACAGCAGATTAGCCTTTGGTGGATCCCAATCCTTCACAGCTCCTCTGATTGCAATATTCACTGGCCCTGGCAGGTACTTCTGACTGGAGGAGACAGGCTCTAAGGTGACACTGCAGCTCTCCTTCTGGTCTCCTGTTCACAACCACAAACCACACAATAAAATAACCTATATAAAAGCAATCAATAGGTTACAGATTGTAAGTCAGGCATTCTGCAGTACATGGCACTGTCCCTGGAGGAAGAGCGCTTTTTCTCTGCTGGTTAATGTTGTTGAGTGTAGCGACTGTTCTATAGGCAAAAGTGGAGCGATGCAAATCTGAAGCATATTAAACATCCCCTTGTTCTGATGGAATAGAAGTATTCAGTACACAAACTTAACCACGACCACATTTAATATGCTCAGGAACATGTGGAGGACAAGTACCTTGTGTGATTGTAAGCAATCCTTCTTGAACAGGGAATGTGGAGCGGTACAAACGCTCATCACTCATGAAATAATTCATGCTACAATCAAATGGAAACACAGCATCAAACGCTCTCCTCTGCTCCATATATTCCTTCCTGTCTCTCACTTTATCCTCAGCACCCTCCTCCTGCTGGACAGTTGGTTTGCCGAAGCCAGGATCCTCCAGAAGTCTTTCACACTCCGGAACATACGAGAGCTGCAGCAAAGCAGCAAATGGAATTAAATTCCCACCAACCAACTGCAGCACCTCAGAAATCATCCTGTAGCCAATGTGATCTGGAGCTCCAGTGAACTGCAAAGAAAGAGAGCGATGTAATTCTGTCACAGAAACAACCTTTCATAAAACACACATACACATCATCAATGTACTGTATGAGTGCAGTGCATACACAATCGTCCTTCTTCTCAGTGCCCCCAGCATTTGCCTGTAGCCTGGCATATTGGAAAGTTGGCAGCAGAAATCAGGATGCCAGAGATTACCATTTGAAAAGTTTCCCTTAAACCTGCTGCACTTCATACACACACATTTTGAGGTTTGCGTGGGTATTATAGATGCTCTGCGCTTAATATTCCCCAGAGCGGTCCTTTCAAACATCTACAACTTCAAGAGGAAGAATAAAGATAATTTTTCATATCATTTTGCTATTTGTCGTTTTGTCTACCGCTATATTTAACTGGTTTACGGCCACCGTCTGAACCCCACAATGGAATTCCGACCCCACAATCCAACCCCTACTTAATATACAATTGTTTGTGGCCTTATTCCCTTTTTGTGCTTGATTGTCTCATTGCAATCTCCAGTCAACACACCATGGCCTCCAGAGAAAGATCAACATAACCAAGTGATAAAGTTTATTAATGGCAAATGTCAGTATGATGTGGAAAATAGTTGGCTGGTGCAATTAAGGAAACAATCAGCTATCAAAAGTAGCAGCAAAACTGGAATGATTTATTGTCAGGCAAGGATTCCCTCAAAAGTGCCTACTAATCTCTGACATGCACTTTTATTTATATAGGGACGTGGGATTACATCACCGACATTGCCATCAGATTACAATCCGCAAAGAACCTTCTTCTATCAAAATAACAAAGAGTGACCGAGTCACTTGTTTTGGATGCACCAGATGAGAGTGAGGTGGGGGTGGGGCGCGGAGACAACTGGCACGCAGTTGTAGTGGGTGGATGACTGGTATGATTCGGAGTCGAAGTAATAATAATAATAATAATCCTTGCATTTGATATAGCGCTTTTCACGTCTTCTCAACGTCCCAAAGCGCTTCACAGAATATGCTGTAAAGTGAATTGACTGTATATTTGTGGGCGAACGCGGCAGCCAATTGCGCACAGCAATGTCCCACAAACAGTCGTAGATTGAAAATGACCAATTTATTATTGTTTTTGGTTTTGGAGGATTATTATTAGGCTCTGTGTGGAGTAAGGAAACTTGCCCAAGGTTTCGCCCTCTGCCTGGAATTGAACTCAGGTCTCTCACTCGCAAAGCGAGTGCTCTAACCACTGAGCTACAGGACTTCACGCCAACGCACAGATCAGCCAACGTCTCACGGAATGGCAGAACAGGCTTCGGAGGCTGAATGGCCTCCTCCTGCTCCTGCGACTGTCGACGCGGTTTGCTGTCGCTCGGTCCGGAGTCAGGACCTTTATCAGGGTGAGGGGAGGGGAGGGAGGGAGTGAGGAGGGGGGGAATGGTCAGGGTGAGGGGAGGGAAGGGAGGGAGCGAGGAGGGGGGGAATGGTCAGGGGGAGGGAAGGGAGGGAGCGAGGAGGGGGGGAATGGTCAGGGTGAGGGGAGGGAAGGGAGGGAGCGAGGAGGGGGGGAATGGTCAGGGGGAGGGGAGGGGAGGGAGGGAGCGAGGAGGGGGGGAATGGTCAGGGTGAGGGGAGGGGAGGGAGGGAGCGAGGAGGGGGGAATGGTCAGGGTGAGGGGAGGGGAGGGAGGGAGCGAGGAGGGGGGAATGGTCAGGGTGAGGGGAGGGGAGGGAGGGAGCGAGGAGGGGGGGAATGGTCAGGGGGAGGGGAGGGAAGGGAGGGAGTGAGGAGGGGGGGAATGGTCAGGGTGAGGGGAGGGGAGGGAGGGAGCGAGGAGGGGGGAGAGAGTCCAGAGGGGAGCTGAAGGCTCGGTCAAAGAGAACTGGGAATTCCAAGCATCCCAATCCCCCCTCCAGGTGGGCATTCCCGGAGCCAGGCTGGAGCCGGGGGCCCAGGCGCTGCCCTCTGCTCGCTCTGGTCGGGCAGGAGGCGGGAGGGTGTACCGTACCTGTGGTGGCGGCGAGGTGTCGAGCCAGTGTAGGCCGATGCCGCGGCCGGTGAGCAGGGCTCGGAGCCCGGGGGGCAGCAGGCTGTCGGCCAGCGGCTGCTCCGAGTGTCCGGGGCCCAGGAAGCGGAGCAGCTCGGCCCTGGAGTGCGGGCAGCGAGCGCACAGGAACAGCGCCTTGCAGTCGCGGGGCTGCCCGTCCTCCTCGGCCGCCCGCCGCCGCCCGCGGCCCCGCTTGGCGGGAGAGGTCAGGTCCGGCCGGTCCCACTGGTAGTCAGACAGCGCTTCCCTCAGCGCCGCCTGGATGGCGGCCGCCCCGCTGGGCCCCGCGGCTCGGGCCTCCGCCTGGCGGCCCAGAGCCTCCTCCAGCCCCCGCAGGTCACTCGGCCGCAGCTCCCTGAAGTCGCGGCCTAGGCCCGGGCCCCGGGAGCCGCCCGGCCCCGAGGGGAACAGCCTGAAGCCCCAGCGGACCCGCTGGAAGCCGAAGCCACAGGCGGCGCGAGTGAGGAGGCGGAGACAGCTCCTGCGGGCGGCCAGGCCCAGGCCCGGGCCCGCGCCGTCCCCCCGCGAGTCCAGCAGGAAAACCAGGCTGCGCGAGGCCATGGCGGCGGCGGTTACTCCGGGCCCCCGAGCTCCAGCCGCCAGCCGCCCATTGGCCGAGCCGCCGGGACCCGCCCCCTCCCATTGGCCAGGGCCTCGCGCTCTCCCGGCGTGTCCGGCCTCCTATTGGCTCACCGGCCGCACGCGGTTCCCATTGGTCGCCGGTCCTGGAGGCCGCGGCTTCCCATTGGCTGATCGGCGTTCTTGCTTCGCCCATTGGTCAATTCGTAAATCCCGCCCTTCCCATTGGCCTTTTAAAACCAACCAATCAGAGCGGCGCCGCCCCCCCCCCGCCGGGTTTAAAGAGACACTGAGGTTTAAAAGGACAATGAGCAGCGAATTTGCCCTCAAAACACATAATCGCTGCACTTTACAGTGATTCTGTGTCACGGTTTAAAGTCTGGACCGTGGTATTAAAATGAAGAAAACTATTAAATATATCGCAATTACAAATGCATTAAAAACCCCTTCACCGTTGTCCTACTGTGTGCCTCGGACTCTCTGACTGTGGTGACCATAAAAACTTCCCAACGAAAATTCTGCCGTCAGTCCTCTCTCCAATAGATGCTTCCTGACCTGCTGCAGATTCCCAGCGATTTCTGCAATCGATGCTGTAGTTGTACTGTGCAATAACTGAGCATCTCAGAAATCCAGGTAGTCGGTGTCTGGAGATGTCACACAGCAGAGAAGGTGTGCGTACACTCTCAGTGGCACCAGGGAATCTGGGGCAAGTGGCTTCAGGTGGGCATCTGCCTTGGGCATCGACTCCAATGGGGACACATTCCCGCGCCTGCGGGACCTCAAGCTGCCACGGTAGCTTCTCGTTGTCTCTTAAAGTTAATCAACGAAGCGAAATTTTAACAAATGGTTTTAGACCAAGATTTAAATTAATATTATTTTGTCATATCGAACCTCAGGGAGACCACAGCTTCAAAATGAGCGTAATAATAATAATCCTTGCATTTGATACAGTGCCTCATCACATCTTTGAGACACCTAATCACGTCTTCAAAGCGCTTCATGGAATATACTGTAAAGTCAATTGACTGTATATTGGATGAGAGAGAATGCAGGAGTCAGTCTCTGGTAAAAGGGTATGGTCATGTAGATCAAACTACCAGCACTGGTGGTAGAACAGTAAACTATAAAAAGTTTTTTAAATGCAAAGGTTTAACGGTTATTAGATGATGGGAATAATAACAATAGCTGAATAATTATACTTAATAATCCTGGCACTGTGTACTTTGCACACAGCAATGTCCTCACAAACAGCTGTGAAGTGAATGGTCAATTTTTGAAGGAAGTTTTGCGAAAGTTAGATGGGTGGATTGTCCACTCCTGCCCTAGAGTAAAAATGTGTAAAAGGGGCACAGCCTCCGTGTTAGACAGCCTGTGCGGATTTCCCGAGACTGGACTGTGTTAGAGGGACACAACAATGTTGAAAAGAAGTGTCTTTTCCTATTGGCTGGAAACACAGGATGTGATGACCTAATGGCAATGAGCCACGTTAGATGTCGGTCTTCCTCTAAAACGCGAGAAGGAAAGAAAGTGTGAATTCAGGCAGAATTTCAACAAAGCTTTCATTATTTTTTTCCCTAAAACATTTAATAATAATTGCAACATTGTCAATAAAGAAATTTTACATTCCATAAGAACATAAGAATTAGGAGCAGGAGTAGGCCATTCGGCCCTTCGTGCCTGCTCCGCCATTCAATAAGATCACGGCTGATCTTCTCACCTAACTCTGATTACCTGCCCTATCCCCATATCCCCTAATCCCTCTATTTTTCAAGAATCTATCAGTCTCAGCCTTGAAAATGTTCAAGGACTGAGCATCTACTGCCTTCTGGGGTAGTGAATTCCATAAGTTCACTACCCTCTGAGTGAAGAAATGTTTCCTCAACTCCGTTCTAAAAGGCTGACCCTGTGACCCCTGGTTATAGATTCTCCCACCGGGGAAACAGTCCCTCTGTGTCTACTTTATCAGCCCTTTAAGAATCTTATAAGTTTCAATAAGATCTCCCCTAATTCTTCTGTACTCTAGAGAATACAGCCCTAGTTTATTCAGCCTATCCTCATAGGTCAGTCCCCTCATCCCAGGAACTAACCGAGTGAATCTACGCTGCACCCCCTCAAGGGCAAGTATGTCCTTTTTTAAATAAGGAAACCAAACCTGCACACAATACTCTCGGTGCGGTCTCACCAAAGCCCTATACAGTTGCAGCAAGACTTCCCTACTCTTATATTCTAAACCTTTCGAAATGAACGCTAACATGCCGTTCGCCTTCTTAGTTGCTGCTGCACCTGCAAACTAACTTTTTGGGACTGGTGTACAAGGACACCCAAATCCCTTTGAATACTAACACTATCTAACTTCTCCCCTTCCAGAAAATAATCTGTTCTTTTATTCTTGCTACCTAGGTGAATAATTTCACACTTGCTAACATTGAATTCCATCTGCCACCTACTTGCCCACTCCCCGCGCCTATCTATATCTTGTTGCAATCTTTTTGCATCATCCTGAGAGCTCACTCTGCTACCGAGTTTAGTATCATCCGCGAATTTAGACACATTACATTCAATGTCCTCGTCCAGATCATTGATGTAAATGGTAAATAGCTGAGGCCCAAGCACTGATCCTTGTGGCACTCCACTAGTTACATCTCCTGCCAATTCGAGAATGATCCGTTTATCACTACTCTCTGCTTTCTACCCGATAGCCACTCTTCTATCCATGTTAATATTTTCCCATTAATCCCGTGGGCCTTGATCTTGAGTAACAGCCTTTTGTGTGGCACCTTGTCAAATGCCTTCCTAAAATCCAAATATACCACATCTACTGGTTCCCCCTTATCCAACCTGCTGGATACATCCTCAAAAAATTCTAAAAGGTTAGTCAAGCATGACTTCCCTTTTGTAAAGCCATGTTGACTCTGCCTAATCTTTTTATGGTCTTCCAGGTATCCCATAACTACTTCTTTTATTAAGGACTCAAGAATTTTCCCTACAACTGACGTCAAACTAACTGGTCTATAGTTTTCCCTATTTTCTCTCCCACCCTTCTTAAATAGTGGAGTTACGTTTGCAATCTTCCAATCAATGGGAACTTTTCCAGTATCCACAGACTTTTGGAAGATTATAGACATGCCATCCACTATCTCAGTAGCCGCCTCCTTTAAAACTCTCGGATGCAGGCCATCCGGTCCAGGGGATTTATCGGTTTTAAGACCCAACAATTTACCTAGAACCATCTCTTTACTAATGTTAATCTCCCTAAGTTGCTCGCTAACATTGTCTTCTTGGTCCTCTATTTTTGGTATGTTTCCAGTCTCTTCTACGGTGAAGACTGTAGAAAAATACTTGTTTAGTGACTCTGCCATGTCTTTGTCCCCTACTCCATCTGATTTTTTTATATAAATATATAATAATAATCCTTGCATTTGATATAGCACTTCTCACATCTTCTAGAGTCTCAAAGCGCATCACAGAATATACGGTAAAGTGAATTGACAGTATATTTGTGGGCGAAACACGACAGCTAATTGTGCACAGCAGTGTCCCACAAACAGTCGTGCATTGAGATAAAAGGCCCAAATTTAACAATAACATATTTATTCTTTTATTCCACCCTAAAACCTTCACACAGAGGCAATTAAACACTGTGTGTGTTTTTGTTAATTTGACCGACTTTAATTAATCTACAAAACAACCTCCTGAGAATACTCACGCCCCCGTCTGAGCAGAGACTGTCACATAGCGGAATGTAGTGAAGCAGACTGCTCTATTCATCCCCCAGGCTGAATAATCATTCAGCCCATTAAAAAAAGATGCACCCAGACAAAGAGAGACGCTGTACATGAACTTGTGGATCCTCTTAGCTCATTCCCTTGCTCCAGCCACTCTGTGACTTTGCCTGCACACACACTCTGTAGCTAGATAGTAGAGCAGGAGTTTATCTATCTTACAGCGGTTTGAGACCATGCCAGACACTTCAGGACCAATCCAGTTCTCGATAATAAGTATTAATCCTTGCATTTGATGCAGGGTCAAAAGGTGTTTCACAACTAATAGCTGTCAAGTGACTGTGGATTTTGTAGGCGAACGTGGCAGCCAATTTACTCACAGCAAGGCTCCACAACCAGTGTGATTGAATTCCATATTAAGGAAATCCATTAAGAAATACCATGAATCAGAAAATGGTATATTTTTACGCATCATGTACTATATTTGCCGACAGTCACTACATTCAACAGCAAGTCCCAAGACAAATGGTTTGAGACGTTTCCATGCCCCAGACATTGCACCAAACATGAGGATTGTTCTCAATAAATAATAATAATAATCTTTACATTTGATACAGTGCCTTTCACATTGGAAGAACATCTCAAAGTGCTTCAAATGATTTAATAATTATAATAATCCTTGCATTTGATATAGCGCTTTATCACATCTTTGAGATGTCACAAAGTGCTTCACAGAATATATTGTAAAGTAAATAACTATATATTTTGTGGGCGAAACGCGGCAGCCAATTGCACACAGCGGTGTCCCACAAACAGTTACGGATTGAATAACTCAAATTTTTTTTGTTTTGAAGGAATTATTAGCTCCGGAAACATGACTAACAGCTGGGTTCCTACTTACTGCTAGGTAAACAGAGGCGCGTGGAATAAAGAAACTTGCCTAATGTTTCACCCTACCCGGGAATCGAACCCGGGTCCTCTCGCTTGCAAGGCAAGTGCTCTAACCAATATACTACGTGGAGTCCTGTAGCTCAGTGGTTAGAGCACTCGCTTTGCAAGCGAGAGACCTGAGTTCAATTCCAGGCAGAGGGCGAAACCTTGGGAAAGTTTCCTTACTCCACACAGAGCCTAATAATAATCCTCCAGAACCAAAAACAATAATAAATTGGTAATTTTCAATCTACGGCTGTTTGTGGGACATTGCTGTGCGCAATTGGCTGCCGCGTTCGCCCACAAATATACAGTCAATTCACTTTACAG